CAAATCTAACAAAGTGGAAAACCACTTATTACCAACAATACCATACTTTGCAATCATTAAATTCCATCCCCTGATAAAATCATCCTCCTCCTCAATTTAGAATATTAATTTTGATATGACCTTCTTTATTCCTTCAACGCGTTTAAACAGAAACAGTAAGTTCTTCTGCACATAATTCATTAAGTGCCAAACACATAAATGATGCTTCGTCACCAACATGACCTGCAAGATTAAGCTACTTAATACCCATGTTGCAATATTGCAAATACCAAAAATACGATTAAAATAATACAATTGTTTCAGCATGAAAGTGACAAGAATGGAGATGCATGAAAGTTATTCACCTGCTTTAATGCCTTCGCCATTACAGCGTCTTGATCCGTAATAATCATCTTTGGCGCTTTTCTACCCATCGCTTTCAAGAACGTTTCAAATAACCAAACAAACGAATCCGCTGTCTCATCATACATTAAGGCTGCTCCAAACACAGCGGTCTCCCGGTGATGATTCATACCTAAGAAAATTCCAAATGGTCTGTTGTCGTGTACCACTTTTGTACGTTGTGTCGAAACTGATAACATCTCCAAAATGGCCATAATCAATGATCATTCTACAATCTAACTAGAATATGTTCGTAATCATTTGCTCAGTATCCAGTTGCAAGGAATAGAAGAACGAAGGATCTTCACAAGCACGCATCTCAAAATAATCCACAAGCCATGCTGCCTCTCCATAAAGAAGCTCATTTTGTCTTCGCGTCCTTAGATAATTTTTAAAATCTCTTTCAAGTACCCAATTGATTCTTTACCACCAGATTGCCTTCCCATCAACTCATATGCATTACAAGCTGGAACTCCTAAATCCGAAGCCAACTCAACATTAATGGCCTGGACTGAGGAAATTCGTCGCTGGGACGACATCATGTGGCTGCATTCAGCAATTATGAATGGATGGTTGTGACTTTCTACAAATTTAGAAACTACGTACTTTGCCTTTGTCTTGTCATATCTAAGAACCATTCGTGCACCACAATTGGTTCGTGTTTCAGCCCGGGGGGGTCTTTCTAAATACATCCCGTTTGTCAGTCCCCTTCACACCTTCCTTGCTACAAACTAACGCCCTTGATGTAATTCTTCCATTAACTTTATTGCCATATTCCTTCTGGATGCTAAAACTAATTCGACCACTGTATACATTGTAAAAATCATATGCCTCTTTCTCACTATTAAACTCTATTTTATACCTTGGTTTCCATTTAATCACTTCCGGTTCTACAACAGGAACATTTCGTCCGTTTGTTGTGTCTTGAATATTTTTTACTTCACCTTCCATCTGAACGGCTCAAATACAAAACATTTTCTCACATATGCACAAACTATTGAATTAACAAAAAATAATTTTGCTTCTACATCCCAAGTATATTCCATCTCAACGGTTCAAATACAAAACATTTTCACATGTATAACCAATCAAATAAAAAACCTTTTCGCATGTATGAGAAATTAAATTTAACATATATCTCAGTCATTTCTTTGCATGTATCAATCAAGTATATCCCAAACAAACGAGGATAAAAATCCACGTTGCCACAACAGAACGTATATGTTCAACCCACTGATGCTAATTTCACATACACTTTTTGAAAATGTTGGGATTAATATTACGCAAAATTTGGGTTTTATGTTAGCAAACAGTTGGGATTCACCTTACGAATTAGTTCGGACTCACCTTAGGGAAAATTTGGGATGTACCTTTTCAAGAAGTTGGGATGCATTTACGAAACTTTTGGGATTTATATTAGGAAAATTTTGGGATACACTTTACAAATACTTTGGGATTTATATTACGAAAATTTTAGGATGTACCTTAGGAAAATGTTGTGACTCACTTTACAGAAATATTAGAACGTAGATAAGGAAGAATTTGGGATGCTTATTAGGAGAAAGTTGGGATGAAACTTAGGAAAACGTTGCGATGTAAGCCCAATGACCAAACATTTTCTTAACATTGTGACACTCTCAAACACTCTTTTCCAGCCAATCATGTACCCTACAACTCCTCTCATTTTTTATCCTCTCAAACAAACATTAAAACCCCTAATAACTGCACAGTAAAATAGCGATCAATTCAAATTCAACAATAATTTTCTATTTTTGGGTTTCTTACCAAAAATGTGTCTATATATTCTTACTAATTATATATTTTTTCCTGCCATTCAGTTCTTATGGAAATAAAGACAATTTCCTTCAAAATCAAATCTCAAAATTATGAATCATACCTATTTAGGGTTGGAAATAAGGCGATCTCCTGCTTCGATTTGAAAATACACTCATGCTTAGCTTTGGAAATACACTGCTACTTCTTTTTGGAAGGAAATTAGAATCTGCAATTTTATTGCGACTGACAGAAGCGCTGCTTCTATTTGGAAACAATTTGTAGCATCCAAATTTTGGGTTGATTCACACAACAATCACTGCTTCCGGATTCTATTTGGAAATAAATAAATTTCTAAAATGGCTTCATTCATATTTTGGGAGAGAAGGAGACTAATAGCGAGATTTGATTTCTATTTCAAATGGCGCCTGAAATGAGGGAGGAAAGAGGAAAAAGAAATAAGGGAGGGAACAAAATTAGTGTATTCTTCAACAGTATATACATATATACACTAAAATTCTATATTACAAAAATATATTTTTTAACCAAACATGATAAACACTATTCATTGACTCAAAATGGAGCAAATGGGGCACTGTGGGACTAGAGGTGATCCTGGTCCATTGCCTTACTATATTTACTTATCCCATTTTACTTCTCCATTTATCATTCATGTTAGGGGAGAATGAAAAAAACACTCTTAATATTTATATTTTAGACAAATAATACTCCTATTCTTTATTTTTGATATATAAGTCTGTTATATAAGTTTGAAAAATGTGACAAAAAAATGCCTTAATATCTATAATCTATCTCAAAATGACCTTTAATAAGTCAGGTAAGAGGCACATAACTATTTTAAGTTATAAAATTCCTAAAACACCTTTTTGCTCTTCCCAAAATGCCCCTTGTACCATTTTATGTATATAAATCACATTCCTTTCTCATTTTGCAAACCGATCTCCCTCTTTCTCTACTCCCAAATTCTCTTTTTCTCCACAATCTCTTGCTACTCCAAAACCTTATTATTGCTTTCAAAGGTTGTGTGAGAAAAACACCTCTAATGTTCACATTTTGAGCAAATAACACTCATATCCTTTATATTCAAGGTTAGACATTTTATTCATTTGACATTTGGTATTTCACCTTTTTTAAGTGCACTTTAATTATTTAATCGCTTCATTGACAATATGTTTTTGTTCGCTCCAAAAGTAAAGATTAGGAACTTGTAAGAATTCATAAGAATTTTATACCCTATACACATGCTATAAAAGTGTTCAGTGTCCACGTTTCTTCATGTGATAATTTGTGCAATTTTTATATTTAAATATTAACAACTGGACTATTAGGCCTTGATATAACTTCTCCTAAAGAAATAGATTTATAGGTGTTTTTTTGTGTAAGATACTAAGATTTACTTAACCAAAAAAAAAAATCTAATTATTAAAATAAAATAAACATAAACTTCAGCCAATCACTCAACCTACACAGTGCAACGGATTTTACCCACAATTGCATCTACTTCTATAATCATATACAAATCAAACAAAATAGTTGTATATAATTAAGTCGCACAAAACGAAAATGGGAGCATGAGCGAATTCGAAAGTAGGAATTGAGAGCAACAAAATTAAGTCATAATCAGTGAGAATTTAAGCGAGAGTGTGCACTGACGTGGGAACGAAAGCACTCAAAACATAAGAATGGCATTTATTGAAAAAAATTGTGTGACATAAGTATAACTATAGAGGACAAGCACCCGTAACATAACAACAAATTATTCATGATGATCAGTTCACCATAAACTCTTTATATAGCTAGGACCTAGTACCTATTTGGCTGTTGAGGAATATAATAGCAATTCTCACAAAAATAGCAAGAATTCTTTGGTACCCACTAATCCACCATTGTCCATGTAACCTTTTTCTTTCGGTAAATTTTATAACAGAACATTTTTGAAGAATGTTTTTTACCTCTTAACTCCATCATGGATATCTTCTCTTTACAATTATTACTTGGGATTGTTTTATTTTTCTTTTTCCTAATTTTGAAAAATTATGAAAGACAAATAAAACGTGGATATTGTAACATATTAGCAGTAACTAGTATTATAAGTTAAATCATACAATTCTTGGTGTTCTTCTCATGGTTCAAACGCGTTTTTACTTTCACACTTTGTGAGTGTTCTCGCTCCCGTTATTACTATGTGTGACTTAAATTTTGTCATTTTCACATTTTCGCTTTTAAATTCGCTCTGACTTTATGTAAGAAAACACAAATTTGCACTATTTTATTTCACCCCTTTATCTGAAAAAAAGGTGGATACAACACAAGGGAAACAAACTTCATTGTTTAATTGATCATTTTTATGCTTTTTTCAATTTGTTGCATTGTAAAAACACATTTTACATGGAGAATTAAAGATGAAGAAAATGCTGACACTATTGCATGTTTCATGAAATAGTATGAAGAACTAACCAAAAAAAAAAAAAAAATCAATATAATATTCTTTTTAAATTTTCAGAAAACTGTTTCATATTTTTATAAATTTAGAAGTTTTTATTTTCATTTTTATCAAAGAACAAAAACAGGCATTATAATAAGAAAACCCAACATTTTTTCTTTTCTAATTCTATTGAAGAAAATGAAAATTAGAAATGAAGTTCACTCATCGTCATACCTAACCTCGGTCCTCCTCACCCACTACTAGACACGGCTGATTATAGCAACTAATCTTACTCTGATTGGTGTGGTCCGAGACTCTCAAAAAAGAATATATGTAATAAATAAGCTCAAATTAAATTCAAATATGCCTAACATTAATTAAGACCAACATTACTTCATATTAACAGTTTAACACCCGTTCAATCAATCACTCACACATGACACAACAATGGTGTCTGTGAGTCTGTGACCCTGTGAGAAACAAACAAAATCATAAAGCAGTGTGCCAGAGATACGACCTTTTCCCTCCCCTTTTCCTACCTGCCCTTTTCCTTCCTCTACCGTACACACATATTTCCCTTTTCACCATTTTAAAGACCCAAAGTCTTCTTGATCTCTGTTTCTTATTGGGGTTTGAGATTTTCCTTCTCTTCCTCTCCCTATTCCTCCATTGATTTCTATTTTCTTTGTGGGTTTTTGTTTTTTTCCTTTCAATTTTAGGTTTTTTCCATCAGATGTTTCCCAGATCGATTCAACCCCACGAATCAATAGTTACCCAGGAAGACATTCATGGTGGTGGTGGTGGTTCGAGTCACCATGGTATAGACCCATGTCTCGTCTTGACATCTGATCCCAAACCTCGACTCAGATGGACTGCCGACCTTCATGAGCGATTCGTTGATGCCGTTACTCAGCTTGGAGGCGCCAGTAGTCAGTATTTTTTCTTATATTTATTTTATTTTTATTTTTTGTTTCTCACTCGCGTTGGGTATTACAATGAATATTGTTATTTTTTCTAATTCTGGTTGCTTTCTGATTCCATTTTCTCACTGTATTTAGACGATTCTTGTTCTATATTCAGTACTATTTCTCTATAATAGATGAGTTGTTTTGTTAATGGGGCTCTTTTGGTATTTTGGTTAGTAATGTAGCATATGAATCAAGCATCTGGTTGCTTTTTATTTTTATTTTTTTGTTTCTCACTCCCTTTGAATATTACAAGGAATATTTTTAGTTTTTCTACTTGCTTTCTGATTACACTTTCTCACTTTATTTCCCTGATTATTGTTCCATATTTAGCAGTAGTTCTCTATAATACATTTCCCAGATGAGTTTGTTTTGTTTATGGGGCTTTTTGGTATTTTGGTTAGTAATGTAGCATATGAAACAAGCATCTTGGTGGTTGCTTGTGTTGATTAATGATTACTGTTAGAATTGCTTTCATAGAGAATTTATTTGCATGTATTTGATCGTCTTAATATTGGTTTTTGCTGAAATTTGTTGTCTGTCATGCTCTCTGAACTCGTTATGACTGCATTAGGACAGCAAAGGGACCTAGCCAGCTTGATCTGGATTCTTGGCCCACATACTCGAGCTCAAATTATTTACTGAAACAACTCAAAATTCAGCTCGAATTTGAGCTTAATCCTTACTTCCTATAGTGTCTGATATTTAATTTTGTAAAAATAAGTTAAATTATTAAAAGTGTTTCACTCGTGATCAATAAAGATGAAATGTTTTACTCATGATTAATAAAGATCAAGGATTTTACCAGTAGGTTGGGCAACATATTGTGGGTTAAACTTGAAAGTCATGGAGAAGTAAAAGAGAACAGTATATAAGCTGTGTAAAAAAGTCATGACTGCCTATTATTAATGGCAGAAAATAATTGTGTTACAATGTACCGCTCGAACAGTTGGGTATTAATTTGTAATTTATAAATTACTTATTACAAAAAATAAGTTGTGCAATAAGGTTTTTTTAAGTAAGCCTAATGGTAATAAACTTATAAAAAATGGAATTTGTAGTTGCAATGAGAAGAACCGATGTACTTGGTCTATTGGGAGCTACATAGGAAGGTTCAAAGAAGTTTAGGGTGCTTGGTTATGGTTTATGAGGTCCAGCTAGTGTACCTTTAGTCTCGGTGTGTTGAGCAGCAGCAATTGGCTGGGGTCTTGCATACAAGTGGCATGCATTAATGTTATATTGTGGGTGGAAGTAAGAAAGGGGCCAAAGCCATAAGCAACATTAGGTGTAGAAAGCCTATGAGATAAGAATTTTCAGTGAGTAAAGACTTCAAAGGAAACATATAGGTGACATTTAAGATTATGCAATGGGTAAACATAGTTAAAATTCAAATTAGTTGGGAAGGTAAAAAGGACGTAGCAATGGTTGGTTATTGCTAGGGCTACAATTAAGTTGAGCTGAGCCAAGTTGAGCTTTTGGCTATTTGAGCTAGAGCTCGACAAGCAAACTCGAGCTTGAGCTCTGTAAGGGTCCTCTTGTGGAACACAAATACTCTATAGTAGATAAGAGATATTACACAGTGTGATGGATCCAAAGAGCTAATCTGGAGGGAGGAGAAGCAGACAAACCAAAGGGATTAATGGTGAAGGTAGGAATGTTTGTGTCTTGTGACAGAGAGTAAATGAACTATAGTACTGGTGATTTCAGGTTGCTGATCTTTTGACATTTTTAATGCTTAATGATACTCGTATTTATAGTCTGAGGTTCCTTGGATAATACCAAAAGGTTCAAGGCCTTTTTGGGGTATTACCCAGCACCTAAGACTTTAGGTTATGATTATTCTAGTTGTTCTTGATTGGCTATTAAGTCAAATCACTTTTTTATTCTGCCCAAGTTGACAGCGGCGCGTTAAATGACTAATGCATCATTAAATGTATTCGGTTGTTTAATAGTGGCGGTGGTTGAGCATTAAATGGTCAATACGTAGCATTAAATGTTTTTTCGGTGTGATTGTAAGTTTCTTTGTTATGGCACGTGCTCCACCGACCTTTTGGTTAGATCACAATCTTTTATAGTTCTTTGTTTAAAAAATTGATGATTAAACTGTGATTAGAAATTAGTTTGAAAGTGTTGAATTTGCAAATGTTGTTGGGTATTGGATTAGAATGTGAAATTTTGTAAATTGATAGTGAAGTGTTGAGATTGAACCTGGGAGAAGCACTGAGCATGATGATTTTGGTGAAGAGATCAGGGCGAGTGATGGAGGCGATGGCACCAATGAGGGTGGAGACGGAGTGGCCAATGAAAATGCAGGAATCGACTTTAAGCTCTTCCAAGAGGGTGAGTATGTCATAGGCATAACCTTGGAGGGAGGAGTAGTGGTCGAAGTAGTCCGTGTTGGTGGTTCCGACACCCATGTTGTCGAAGACGGTGAGAATTTGCCATTATAGAGAAACTTGCAGTCATATAAAAAAAACATTTAATGTTACATTTTGACCATTTAATGCTCAATTATCGCCACTGTTCAATAGTCGAATACATTTAATGTTGCATTATCCATTTAATGCGTCGCTGCCAATCTGGACAAAATAAAGGGGCGATTTGATTTAATTGCCAATCAAGAGCAATTGGGGTAATCATAAGCCAAAGCCCTAGGTGTTAGGTAATATCCAAATAAGATCTCGAACTTTTGGGCATTATCCAAGGAATCTCGGACTATAAATACAAGTATCCTTAAGCATTAAAAAGGTCAGAATATTAAAAAACTAGAATTGTCATTACTATAGTTCATTTAGTATCATAAGGCACAAACATTCCTACCTTCACAATTAATCCCTTTGGTTTATTTGCTTCCCCTCCTTCCGGACCAGCTCTCCAAGTCCCTCATGTTGTGTGTGATATCTCTTATCTATGGTGGTTAAATTTATTTTACTTATGCATTAGGTTCTCCTATGCACCAGAGTTTGGAATAACAGATAAAAATGTTAATTGTATATCAGCTCTCTAGTATACAAAACAGATAAAACTGTTAATTTACGTATAATTGTTAGATTTATTTTTTGGAGAGGATTTGATTCGTATTTAGAGAGGATGTTGTGTGCGTAGTGCTGATTGCGATTATTAGGGAGTTGTACCACATTGTGTCTGGTGATGCATTTGGAAGCAGAGGAATAGTAGAATGTTCAAAGGGAAAGAATCGTCCACGGTGATTCTGAAACTTCACATCATACGCTCTCTTTTCAGTTATGTGAAGAGGAAGTCCTGTTCCTTTTCCGAAGATTTAATTATTTTTTTGGCTTCTTTGGGGCCTTAAACCCCGGTTCCACTTTTGTATAATGGATGCGTTCCCCTCTTGAACGCCTTTTTAATTCAATTATTACTTATAAAAAAAAAAATTGTTAAATTTATTTTACTCGTGTCAGTTTAACCCCATTTAAGTAAACAGCCCCATAATTTAGTAAGTAAATTTATTTTACTTATGTATCAGCTCTCTAGATAAAACAGTTAATTATGGGGCTATTTCAAGATAATAGGGAATTAGGGATGGATTTATTCAAGGAATTCTTGGGGATGGTAGAGTTTCTGTAAGAAAGAAATCTCCTTGTGGAGGAATATATTAAAGGGTACACAATAGAAAATGTTAGAGGCTTAGAGCAAATAGTCTAACCGACATTTGCCTGCGCCTTCTGATTTAGGTGGTTATGGTTGTCTTTTGGAAATCCTTGATTTGAATCCATCTACTCCTATCAAAATGATGAGAAATGATAGTGAGATGCTTAAGAAAAGCTCCGAGCATTCTATAAAAATGTGTAACGATCTTTAATTTATGTAACATAATTTTGGAACGATCATAGTTGAGAAGAGGGTCTGAAGATGTATGCATGCATCGGAAGAGTTGATGAGTATGATCATATCCTATTGAAAAGTGGAGTAGGACCATATTCTAGTCATATTTCCCTTCTAGCCTTCGGATATATAAATCTGAAAGGTCCAGTTTTTTCACTTGATGTCAAACTGAACTTAGATTGGATCGGCTCAGTCAAGCTTGACATGAGCTCAAAGTGAGCCTAGATACAAGCCAACAAGAATCAAGTTGAGGTCAAATAGCTTGATAATCAGATTGACTCAGTTCAACTCATTTCATCTTGTTTGTACTCTTTATTGACTTGTTTAAGATTAATGCTTCTTTATGGTGGAATACTTTTGTCACAACTCATCTTTCAGATGAGGGACAGATATTGTTTCTCACTTTCACTCATAATTAAGGGAGCCTCTGTTCTGGGTTTCCTTATGGTAAAAGACAAGTCCAATTTGGATGGCTAACCTTTCGGTTAACCTATTGGAGTAACTGGAAATTAGAGAACGTCAAGTCTAATTTGGATGGCTAGCCTTTGGGTTAACCTATTTGAGCAACTGTAAATTAGAGGACTTAATAAGATTATTTGGGTTGTAACGTTTCTCTTTGTCACGAATGTCCAAGGTTGGTGACAATGGCTAACATATTACCCATTCATTGGGGAACCCCTGAAAATGTCTCTTTGGTCTGTCTGGTACACAAGTCTGTAGTTGTCGGGAAGAAAGTAACATTATAATAGGCAGAGCTGGAGTGCTCTTCTCAAAAGTAGAAAATCAGCCTTGCATTAGTTCTTTGTACCTTCTTTTTGAAGTTAGGTAAAATAAATGATAAACTTAAGCCAGAAGGTGCTGGGGTGATCGAGTGTTTGTGAAGACCAATGTTCCCTCCTTACTGGTTCTTTTATTCTGTTTGTTTGAATTTTGGATTCTTCCAAACCGATCTTTCTGCACTTCATTTCTTTTTTACTTTTCTCCTTCTTGATGTATGTGGGACCCAGTTTGCCAGCTCAGGCTTTGATCCATGCCATGTGGCATGGACCTTGCCAAGTCAGCCACTCCCACAAGACTTCTCTCTCTAACTGCCTAATTTAATGGTTTAGTGTCACAGGTGTGGCTGCGGAGCTTAGCCTGAAGCTCCACCAGGAGTTTGTCTACAAATAAATCTCAACCCCTCAAGGAGTTTGTCTATGTAGATAAACCTCGATCCCTTGAGGAAAGCCGTCGAGGAGCTCCTCTCCACAGATAAACCTTAAGAATGAAGTGAAGACCTTCGAGAACTTACTCTCTATAGACATGCCTCAAAGAAGGGATGATACTTCGTGTTTCAAAGGGGCATGACCTTGTTGCAATACTCTCTTTATGTAACCCTATGGAGTGTGGGCCTGATGGCTGAGGTTTGAGGAATGCCAAAGAGTTATCACTGCAGCCCGAGGCTGGGCTCACTTTTTTACTTGTCATATAGAAAAGAGGAAAGCAATCTTGCCTAGAGTAAGACGACTTCCGGAGCCATTACATTTAATGCAATACATGTCCTGTCATAGTCGCATTTAATGGCCTGGCCCTCTCCTTTACCCCAATGGAGGAAACAGTTCATCTCGAGCCTCCAAATAGTCACATCTTTGCCCAATCTGTACGTTGCAGCAACTAACCAATGACCAATGAATAATGTTGTCTACCCTTGGTCTTTAATCGGAAATAACCCCCCCCCCCCCCCCCCCCCCCCGCGCGGGTTCCCTCTTCCTCGAGTCCCTTTCGAAGACCCCTCATGTGATAGCTCGGACTTCCACCTAAGCCTCTACTCATTGGTCATTTACAATTAAAGTGATTCCTCATTTTGTAGAACCTACATCAACAAAGCACATTATGTGTTGGTTCGGATAAGGGTAAAGAAAGGATTAGGACCAGAAACCAAAGTGAATTATCTGTCCTATGGTGTTTCCATTTCTCCATATCGATCATTTTACATGTCCACCAGCTTTTAGATGGTTGGTGTATTCTACTGGTGGATTTAGGATTTATTGAAGACTTAATGAGGAATCAGTGGAGGAAAATCTTTCAGTAATTGATGTTGTTTCCTATTATTGAAGATTTGGTGTTACTAGAGGAATCAATGGAGAAAAATCCTCCTTGTTTCCTATTTTCTAATTCTTTCAATTCTCATAATTTCTTCTCCTATATAAAAGAGTCTCCACCATTGTATTGTATATGAATTAAGAGAGTATTATAAAAGTGATGTAGCCCTTTGGGCTCTTTATGTCGTGGATGTAGGCCCTAGTGGCTGAACCACGTAATATATGTGTGTTCTACCTGTTTAATTTCTCTTCGCTTCCGTTGCTTTACGACATGGTATCATAGCATATTTTCTCTTCTTAGGTTCGGAACCTTATTTTGGAGTATTCCCTTAGCGTCTGAAATGTTGCTGAGGGTTTCTCGGTGCTATTTGTGACTTGTTTGGGCTGCCGGTTTGTTCAGTAGTAATGTTCTTCGCCTTTGCCGTGTCTCCAGCAGTTTTTATCGACTTGTTTGGGCCGCCGGTGTGTTCGGTAGCATTGTCCTCACCTTTGCCGTGCCTCCGGCAGTTTTTTGTTGACCTGTTTGGGCTGTCGGTGTGTTCGCTCTCTTCTCTCTTCATCATTCACACTTGTTGTTACTCGTTATCTCATAATTTCTTCTCCTATATAAAGGAGTCTCCACCATTGTATTGTATATGAATTGAGAGAGTATTATAAAAGCGATGTAGCCCTTTGGGCTCTTTGTGTCGTGGATGTAAGCCCTAGTGGTTGAACCACGTAATATATGTGTGTTCTACTCGTTTAATTTCTCTTCGCTTCCATTTTATGCTTTACAACATGATTAAATTTAGTTGACGTAGAACTCGGCCAGTGTCATGAATAGTGCTTTGTCTTTACACGGCACGTCCCAAGCCCAGAAAAAGAAAGCGGGTTTCGTTAGGTTGTTTGACATGTAAAACTTTAGTCAGAACCAAAATGAGCATTAATTTTTAATTAAACACAGGATTAGTGTAGCCAACCCTAAGTAGCTAGGAAAATATTTTATTGAGTGGAGTTTTTTTTTTTTTTTTGTTGGCTTTGCTGCATGAAGATACCTGCCTTGTGGTGCAGGTTACGGATGTGCTGGGGAGGTCAGTGTTTTGTATTACGTTTGTTGATAGCATATTTTCCCTTTGCCCTAGAACTTAAATTTTTAGCTGTTAGTTGGCTTTGCTACAATTATGAACACAAGCGCACAACTCAAAAATGTGTTTTCTTGACCGCTTGGGTTGGGTGGGTATCTCTAGCCACTTTGCTTAAGCTAGAGCCTTAATTCTCACGGGCCAAGTTTCCTGTTAGTCATTCCTAATACAGTCCTCCTCTGCCATTGCCTCCCCCACATCCTCATCGGTCTTTTTTTAGTTCTTCCCCCATCTCCCCCCACCCCCAAAAAAAAAAAAAAAAAAAAAAAAAAAGCACACACGCACACACAATCCCTGTCATCTGATCAAACCAAGTCACGTGTTCCTCAATTCATCTGGTTAAGTAAGCAATCTTCAAGCTCAGGCAGGGATTCACTGGCTCTCTGCCTTCTTAGCTTGTTAACAAAGTTTGAAACCACTTACCAGTGTGCTGATGTTGAGATGATCATGAATTGCTTTTCTGTTTACAGTCCCTACCAATGACTAGTACTTAATCTAGGCAATGATTATTTTGAACAAGAAATATTCTGTTATGTGTTGGATTATCTTAATTTCCGTAATCTGATGCATATCTGAGCATGAAAAATACCTGCAGAAGCAACCCCAAAGGCTATAATGCGGACAATGGGCGTTAAGGGACTCACTCTTTTCCATTTAAAGAGCCACCTCCAGGTTTGTTACATTATTAAACTAGCTAGTTTCCCATTTCACTCAATTCAATTAATAGAGCTTATATGAAGATGAACAACCTCTTGTTATATATATATTTCCCGGATAAGTAAACTCTTGCCAAGTTATTTGACTGCGGTTGTCTTTTTGTGTTACAGAAATACAGATTAGGTAAGCAATCTGGGAAAGATTTTGGTGAGGCTTCCAAAGATGGTAGGTTTAGTTTTAATTCTAATGGCTTTTCCAAAGTGTGTAAAATTTTTTCAGTGGCTCTAGTCCCTTGCTACATGAATGCTTGCTAGTTGAACTTGTAAAACTTATTGTTTGCTCCAAGCTTTAACTTTGTTGTGTTAATTCGGCTACATTGAATTCTGAACAATGTAGCAGCTCTATCTCACCCCTCCCCATCTCTCAAAATGTAAAACTATTAATAACTAACCCGTCAACCGAGAGAAAATCTGAAAGCAAGGACTTGTTTCTTATATTCACTTGTAACTGATTATATCTGGAAATGTTAGTTTGGAAAGCTGCTTAACTAAAAATAGTTACAATTGATTTCTTTTGCCACTGAATGGAAGGAATATCAGCTTCATACCTTTTAGAAAGCCCTCGTACCAGTAATTCTTCTCAAAGCTTGCCGACTTCCGATATGAATGAGTAAGATACATTTTTTCCTTCAAGAGTTCTATATTTTCTTATAGATGTTGGTTTTATTATGATGTTGCAACTTCTAGTAGCTCTAAGGATTTAGTTGATGTTTAGGGGTTATGAAGTTAAGGAGGCCTTGAGAGCTCAAATGGAAGTACAAAGTAAATTACACCTGCAAGTTGAAGTAAGTTTCCTTCATTTACTGAAATGCATTTGTTTGAAGTGTTTATCAAAATAAAAGACTCTAGAGCTGGGATTTAATAGCAGTCATGTAACCTTGTAATTTCCTTGAAGTGGGAGGAAGACTTTTACTTGATTATTTGCCTTGTTTTGTGATTACATGTGCGGACGATACAATAGTCAATAACTGAGTCAAAATGCTAAACCTACCATTCCATTACTAACTTGTCAACTTGGACTGCGTCTATACTCTGGCCAAGCTGATTGTGTTATTTCTATTAAGCAGGCTGAGAAGCACTTGCAGATTCGACAGGATGCAGAACGAAGATATTTGGCCATGTTGGAGAGAGCCTGTAAGATGCTTGCAGATCAAATTCTGGATATTGACAGAGACGCTTATCAGGGATTGAAAGCAGAGACGCCAGCAAGTTCCTCACAGATCCCTCTCGGCTTATACTCTTTACAATCTGCCGAGGTGGTCAGAGTCCATGGTCCTGAAGAAGTGTCACCAAGAATCCATCCCCAGAGGGCTGATTGTTCCACTGAGAGCTGCCTGACTTCGCATGAGAGCCCTGCGGGATTGCCTCTGGAGGGATCTCCGCCTGGTGGGAAGAGACGGATGCTGAACTTGGACTCGACCACCGCGTCAATGATCTGGGGTGGTGAATCAGATATGAGAACCCAAGATGTCAATGTGGTTCAAGTTAATTCAAATGGAATCACTGGGTATGGGATATAAAATCGTTCTTATTGATGTTGACCTATTGTCGAAAAGATCCTCTAATATGACTCTTATTGTAGAAGTGCAGAACTGTTCATGTCTATAAAAATGACAGAAGAATGTAGTGGACCTAAGTTCTCTCAAGCTGTAAATTAAAGCTGCTAATGTTTCCATGTTGAAAACTTTTGACTGGATTAAAGTAGTTGGCTTCTGTTTTAGTATTCAGCATCATCCTTCCGTTACAGAAATGGGCACAACCCTAATTGCTCCCAACTAGAGCTAACCATGTCCAACCTCAGGTTCTATATTATGTCCAACCTCAGGTTCTTTATTATGTCCAACCCCCCATTTTGTGTTCACGGAACTTTTTTGACTTTCTACTTTGAAAGGTGAAGAAGTATCACAATTTGTAATTTGTGTTGATTTAAAGTGAAATTGATAGTGTGAAAATGCTCATCTACGTGATACTCATCCCTTAAGGAATTTTTTTTTTGGTAATTGCTTGTGCATGTGGAACAGAAAGGCTATATTAGTCCCATGGTGGATTATTAGTCCCATGGTGGATTATAAGGTGCTTTAAAAGATCCCACACCACCATAGTCTAAAAATAATAATAATAATTAAATTAAATTAAATTGGTTAAGAGGATGAAATATTCCAAATGGGTCAATTCATGAAGAATGTAATTGCTTGTGCATGTGGAACAGAAAGGCTATATTAGTCCCATGGTGGATTATTAGTCCCATGGTGGATTATAAGGTGCTTTAAAAGATCCCACACCACCATAGTCTAAAAATAATAATAATAATTAAATTAAATTAAATTGGTTAAGAGGATGAAATATTCCAAATGGGTCAATTCATGAAGAATCCAATTGCTACAATTAATATGAAAGCGAAATTTTTGCCAACATGTGCCTAAACTCAGAAAAAAAACGAGGAGAAGTTAATTTCGAATGCTTAGTAATCATGTAGTAAATGATAATATATATATTTTTGTGATTGAGATGGCAGTTGAATGTTCGAAATTGTTTGATTTACTTGGTTCAATCTCATCAAAATTATACATTGTCATATTATGTGTGACTAAAGTCCATTTCAATTCTTAAAAAATCATCGTGATTAAATGAGATTTAATCGATCAGATATTCAAACTTGTTGGGTAATTTTCCATGGATAACATCATTAAATCAACATGATTTATAAATCAGGGCATTGAATCAACATTCTATCACTTAATCTGACTTAAATTAGCCAATGAAATAATAGTAAATGTTTGGCATTATGATTAGGCAGACTAAAAGCACATCCAATAAAGTAAGATCTATAAAAGAAATATATATTGGACAATAATATATTTATAAAAAACACTTTATAATATTTTTTATAGCTAGAGAAATGATTAAAGAATAAAAAAGTTTAGTCACTCTTAAACCCTCAGATCAAAATCACATTTTTAACAACCCTTTAATCTAACATTGATCGCATGAACTCACCTAAGATGGCTTTCACCATAATATTTGGTAAAAAAAAAATTAAAAGAAAAGACAAAGATAATATTTTCTAAAAAGTTAATAAGAAAAAACAAAGATGAAAGAAGTCCAAAAACATTACTGTCAAAGGGATTAAAAAAGATAAAATGGCCGGAACAACAGAGACGTGGCCGGAATATGACAACAAGATTCCGTCCGTTGCTAGGCCGGTCATCCTGTCCATCATTAGATGGGCAGACCAATTCGCTGACCGCGGGCACTTTTTATATAAATTATATATATATATATATATTGACACACATATACATATATATATATATATATGCAACATCACATCATTATGTTTAGTTTAATTGTAATCAATCATTAGTTTACTTTCAATCTTAACGCTGTATCGTCGTACCATTGGCAGTAATCAGTGTAAAATTTTCAGAGGTAGTAATTGTCTATATATATAAGTAAATATATATGTGTATGTATATACTATATATGCAACTTCACATCATTTAAAACAAACCCACCTCCCAAAATTGGAAAATCCCCCACCCTCCACCTGCTCTCCCTCACCTTTCCTTCCCAAAAAGAGAGAGAGTAGTCCTGTGGTTTCAATTGGAAGTCAATCTTTTGTGTGTGAGAGAGAGCATCTATATATCCTAGTCCAAGGGTTCAACAAGGTCAAGCTCAAATTCATCGAAATTCTAAGTCTTTCTGGTTTTGGTTGGCAGTCATGTTCAATTGTTCTTTTTCAAAAATCAGCTCAGACTCTCGAATTCGAGCTTCTCCTTGATTTTTCAGATCTGGGTATGTCTATTCTTCTCCTTTTATTGATTATATATGAACTGGGTCAACTCTGATTTTCTTTTGAACACTTCAACAAAGGGAAAAAGAGTTGTTTTGTTTTTAATTATTCTTAAATTTCTATTATTGTCTTTTATTATAGTCCCTGCAACCCTAATTACATGTGATCATGTTGTGTTATGGTGGAAGGTCTTTTTTTATTCTTGTGGTGTTTGTTTTTCCTTGAAGTGATTAGATGAATTTAATTTTCTTTAGTTTGATTGGTTCATTTTCTACTTTAATGGGACTTCTTTTAGTCGGTAAACATCAAACAATTAGTGCATACCCTAAACAACTTAGAATATTCATGACCTTTCCTAACAATTACTGCTTGCCCTAAGCCCTGCCATCGCATATGCGCTTGTCTAAAAATTTTGGGATTCTTGTGGCTGTCTGTGTAACTTCTTCTCAAGCTTTTAGTAGAATATTGGTGGGTTTTTATTTTTGGATATTTTTGTATGTTATATATGTGGATGGACTATTGAGAAAAATTCTTAATTATTTTTACTTTTTGGAAGACCTTATTATTGTGATTTGTCACTTCTATTTTGTCTAGCGAATCAACCATTTAATGTCTGTGCTTGTATTTTGCTTTAAAAAAATATGACAAAAAAGTTGATTATACTTTTCAAAAACAAAAAAGTTGTAATATGGTTATACCAATTTATGAGGAGGGATGCTTCATCCGTCCTCCCATAATTCCCTCTGACCCACCATTTTGCTTCCATCCAAAATTTGAGAAGAGACAAAAAGAAAGATATTTGCCGGATAAAATTAAAAGGATTTTATTACCCTCATTTAAATGTAAAGTAGTTTATATATCTAAGGATATATTGTTCCTTCCACTCAATCAAACAAAAGGGAATGGATTCTAGAGATGCCTCTTCCATCCCTCCTCGTCCCCTTCTATTTATGTTTCCTTCCCTCCCACCAGAGTATAATCTTATGAGCAACACATTTCACCAAAAGCAGAACAAGGAGGTAAAACATAGAGTTTATCTGTGTGTACACAAACACACATATATGCGCAGTATTATTCATACTAAGGTTTTTATTTCAATCTGGGTTAATGTATTGACTTCTACTCAAGAAAGTAGGATGTTGTGGATTTAAGAAGGTTAAAACTTGAAACATAACATGTAGATGCAAGGCTTAAAACACAACCATGTTAGACTTTATATTGCTCAAGGATATCTGGAAACATTCTGCTGAAGTTCTTAGCAGCTGTTCCCTCCTATTTTTTCAAAATCTGGGGAGCCTTGGAGCGCTCTGAATAGGATGGTAGAACTGGGTTGGTCTCCAGAAGGTTCAGGTTAATCCCCAAAAGAAATGTGTTTCGTGTCTACACTTCTTTTTATTTTCTCATGGCTAAGTATCTCACGTGATGCAATCTAAAATCTTGAACAAACGGGGTGAGTTTATAGTTGGCATTTCTTACCTGTCAGCTGAGGAATGCTGAACGATGCCATCATTTGAGCTAAGGAATCTCTTGTGGATTTTTTAAATCCACCACTCTTTTTAGACAGTTTAATCACTTGTTTTGCAAATGCATATGGTAGTTAAATTTGAAGTCTTTAGATTTTTTTGGTATGCTTTTAGTGACTCTCTGGTTTCTTGTTTATAGATAAATGACAAATGTATCAACCGAAGGGTGTTCCTAGTTCCAGTTTAGTTCGCGAGAATTCAGTTTCCCATAGTCAGCAATTAGATTGTGGTGCCAGCTCAATGGAACCTATCAGTGGAGGAAACAGTCTTAGCAACAATCCTAGTCTGGCCTCAAAGCAACGGCTGCGTTGGACACATGAGCTTCATGAACGCTTTGTTGATGCTGTAGCACAACTGGGTGGACCAGATAGTGAGTTATGCAGATCTTCATCTGGCTTTTTTTTTTTTTTTTTTCCCCTGATGAGTAACATACATCTTCAAACTTTGTCTTGTGTGCTTTCTTCCTTTCACTCTGAAAATAATAAAATATCATGAACCATTTCGTAAAAATGTCCAGCTGCGGTTGCTCAATCTTAATACAATTTAAATAAATGAGAAATGAAATAGCATTGTCTCACTGTGATTATATGCTTAGAAACTGATGTACAGGTAGGACTCGTCATTGATATTTTGAATTAATTTGTCAATAATCCTTTTTTAGAACTTACATGGTCTCTCAATGATTCAACGTGTCAACTATTCATGATCTAATTTTTACTGTGAGGTCAAAGGGGTAAGGTTATTTTGTAAAAACATTGGTGAACAGGAACTGCTAGAGAGGGTTAATCAATTTCTCAATAAACTGATTGTAACTGCTTGGGTGTTTGAAATGAAAAATCTTTCTATATTTGAACTTTATGCTTATCTAAGTGTTTTAAGATAATTCTCTTTGTTTTCTTCAGGAGCTACACCTAAAGGAGTCCTCAGAGTCATGGGTGTACAAGGTCTAACTATTTATCATGTCAAAAGCCATTTGCAGGTACATTTTTGGTTATTCTGTTGGGGGGCAGATGTAGAGGAGTGCCCAGGGTAGCAATGCATCCCACCCGAACACAAAAGATGACTTCTGTGGTTATGTTACCACCTCTCACTAGCCCCCACTCCTTTTTCTTTTTAATTTTTTTATTATTACATTTTGAACCATTTTGATAGTTATTTTCTACATCTTTCTTAGTAAATAGGGGGCCACTACTTTTCTTACTGCTCTGCAATTCCAAACTTAATTTAATGATAAAATGATGGACATTTTGCCACCTTTCCCTGCATTTGACTTTGCCTCCCTACTTCCCGGAAGGAAAAGGTCCCAAGGCCAACCCTGATTCTGTTTTATGCAAATCTTCTTCTTGATGGTGCTTTTTTGCTGTTTTGTTTTGTATTATTTTGTTTTCGAATTATTGTCTCCTTAATTATTTCATTAATTCTGCTGTGGTGATTCATCCAGAAATATCGACTTGCAAAATACCTGCCGGATTCCTCATCTGATGGTAGGTGTGTTATGTTTCCGTTGTTCTTTCTTCGGTAATAATGTTATGGCCAACTATAATGACTATATTTTGTGGAGTATTAGAATGGGCAGTTTTCTTATTTTGGTCAGTGTTCTTTAAGAATGTCTTGAAATGGAACCTTCCTAAAAGGATCATTGTAGTGATTTTCTTACTTAAATTGTTATTGCAAGGGAAAAAAGCTGACAAGAAAGAATCCGGGGATACACTCTCCAGTTTGGATGGTTCATCGTAAGTACTTTTGCCCAATTTGCTTTCTTTCCTTCTTCTTTTTTCCCATTAGTGACAAGTTTACAAATAGGTTATAGTAGAAAGTTTATGAATGAAGGTTGAATGCATTCCATAAATATAAATATCATGCACGTGGTAGAGGTGTGCAAGAGTGTCAATGTTTAAGGAGGAGTTGAGTTCATGCCAGACATTGACACTCTTGCACAATTTTTTAAATATGTCCCACACATTTGGACCTGTCTATTTGAAGCTATTTCTTATTTCTCTAGATATGGCCAACACTTCTCGCACACTTGCTAACATGTGACTAATTGAACCATGTATGTTGGATGAGACTTTCTTTTAGCATTGAAAGAAAGATCATAATTTTAAGAAAAAAATCAAATTAAAACTTTGTATAAAATTAACAAAAAGTTTGTCTCAAAGTATATCAAGAAACAAAAGATTTAGAAAAGGTTTTATTGAGGAAATGGGATGAGACCACGGAGGCTTAGCTCAAGTGGTATCCCCTCCTTCCATTTGGAAGGTTGAGGACCCTAACAATAAAGGGGGTGTGTGTTTGAGTTGCATGTGTAAGTTACCTGCCAAAAAAAAAAAATGTGGGATGAGAGTAGGAAAGGACAGAGAAGTCATCCGCTTGTGTATACATATACACATCAAAGTGTGTACATGAATATACACACAAATATGTTGTGTCCTTCATATATTTTTTCTATATGATAAGGGTTGGATGAGACTTTCTTTTAGCATTGAAAGAAAGAGAATAATTTTAAGAAAAAAATCAAATTAAAACTTTGTATAAAATTAACAAACAGTTTGTCTCAAAGTATATCAAAAAACAAAAGATTTAGAAAAGGTTTTATTGAGGAAGTGGGATGAGACCACGGAGGCTTAGCTCAAGTGGTATCCCCTCCTTCCATTTGGAAGGTTGAGGACCCTAACAATAAAGGGGGTGTGTGTTTGAGTTGCATGTGTAAGTTACCTGCCAAAAAAAAAAAAATGTGGGATGAGAGTAGGAAAGGACAGAGAAGTCATCCGCTTGTGTATACGTATCACATCAAAGTGTGTACATGAATATACTCACAAATATGTTGTGTCCTTCATATATTTTTTCTATATGATAAGGGTGATTATGAGTATTTAATTTACAAGTCACAAACTTCATTTTAGTTTTATAATGTTTGATTTAATTGTCATGAAGTATTGTTTGTATCAAATATATATATATTTAAGTATTGTTTGTAGCAGTATAATTCTTGTATATATAAAATTATAGATTTTATTGCTGTGTCTGTACTCTGTCCTACTATTTAAGATATGTTTTGTCCGTGCTGTGGTGCGTCCTGATCTTGTATCTGTGTCCCCATTTCATGTAATGCGGCCTGGACCTAGAAACATTCACATTAATCTGTTTCCCATCTCAAATGGTCCAAAAGATGTAGTGAACAAATGAGAACTTATGGCAAGGCTATGATTATGTAAAGAAACATCTGGCTATGTCCATCTCTGTGTGTTTTTTTTTTTTTTTGGGGGGGGGGGGGGGGGGGGGGGGGGGAGGCAGTATTCTATCCCATGTATGTAGTATTTATTTATTTATTTTTCTTGGCAAGAAACACACACACACCCACTTTGCCCCTATGGGGTCTTGAACCCTCAACCTTCTACTTTCGAAGGTGAGGAAGTACCACTAGGCTACAGCCCTTGCCATCCCGTGTATCTAGCATGCCTAAGAAATTCTACCAGCCAAGCTAGCTTGCAAATTCATCTGGTTATGCTCAATTAACTTGGGCTACCTTATCTGAGAAAGCATGTGTTCTTTCTGCTTTCAGGGGGGTGCAAATTAATGAAGCACTCAAGCTGCAAATGGAGGTCCAAAAGCGATTACATGAGCAGTTGGAGGTATGCTTTTCTTAGCAATTTCTTGTTTCCTGTAGATAGATCATTTTTAGAAATTTTCTTCCCCTCTTTTAGGATTATCAACCTAAGTTAATGAAAACACATTGTCAGTGAGGAGAATACTGTATCTATGTAAATAGGTATAACTTCCATGATGCATGGACACTTCAAATTGTGTGATTTATCCATATTGAACATGACGCGTTACCATGGGTTGGGCATTGTGTTTGATGCTCCTGCTCAAACTGGAAGTATCGAATGGGTGTATTAAACAAAGTAGGGGAGGAACTCATTCTTTTTTTACTGCAAATTTCCTAGATCACATTGTTAATCTAATACTACATTATTTGAAAGCGTGAGGGCTATCTATGTTGAACATGCTATTGTAATATGACACTTATATTTTCCAACATATAACAAACAAGAAGGATATTTAGATACTTCGATAATGTAGCCACATGATTGTGCCTTGAGGTATGCGACTAGGAAAATCCGACACCTAGACACACACCTATGTTGTAAGTGCTAAATGCTAATGAACACTGGTACATATAGTTTTCTGGAATGGGTGTTCTACGAAGTGGAACACTTTCGTTCGTGAACACTTAATTGAGTGAGTGATCCAAAAAGGAAATCTGTATTGCTTATTACAATTGAATTCTTATTTTATCCCTTTCTATCACTCGCTACGAAGGGTTTACGATTGGATTGCTTGAGCTAAAAGTTTAGTTGATCAAACTACTGGAATAAGATCTAAGCAGGCTCCAAACAGTCATGTTGGTTCTACTTCAATTCTATATGTTCAGAATCAATGAAATTCGGCAACCTTATCATTTTTATACTCATCCAGTAATTTAAAGTTTGGAAGTTTCTAACATAAAATTTCAATCATAGTCACCCCTCATATTGAACATTGCAACACGAAATAATGTGGAAGTGGAAATTTTAGATTTTCCAATCACATGCACATTGATTACTGAGCAAAAATGGGGTTTATAGTGACCCCTCAATCGATTGAAATGAAGCTCAATTGACTTAGCACCTGGACAGAAACCCAGAAATGACTCCCAGCAGACACCCTATCAATCAAGCATCCATCTCAGTTGTTTGAGATTGCGACAAAAGGCTAATATAGTCTCCAGAAACCTGCAAATTCAACTTCTTTCCTAAAACTTTCTAGATATCAGCAAGCCAATTTCTATCATTCCATGTTCTTTTGCAGTCTAATATTTGCATATTTCACGGCAACTCCAATGTCTCCTTTTGATCAAATTCTAGGCGTGCCACAAAATTATCAACCTACAATCAAGCTAGTTATTTTGTCAAATGTATAGTCTATAACTCCGTGTCCAGAGGACAACACCCTGCACTCTTGACATGATTTGCGTGAACTCATCAACACTGGAACATACAAAGGCATGCAAGCATGTCTAACTCAACGTTTACTCATCAACTGAGCATAATTTAAAGAATTACTTCATGCAAGTATATAAATTCCCATGCAACATTCAGAATTAAATGTAAGACTGTAAGCATTCATATCAACTTATCTTTGCAAATTTTTAGGAAATGAATTTAGATACAGTGAGTGGAAGCTTGTTATCCTGCCTCTCATAGCCAAATTCCTCATTGGTTTTTGTTTTTCTTTCCTTTAATCTCTGTTTCTCCCTTAGTCCTCCTTTCTCATCTCTGTTCTCTTTATCTTCTTCTTTTCTTTCCTTTCCTTTTCTTTTATTCTATCTTCCTTTTCTTTTTCTAGTTGCCTCTCCCTTTTCCCTCTTTTCCGTCCCAACCCAGCCCTAATTATAGGCTGGGATGCATGGCCATGTCTCCCATATTGGTGATACCTGATCATTTTGTTTTTCTTTGTTGCCACATCATATTGTTCTGTTCAATCAAAGGTTCCCTTGGATCACTCAAGCCCATTATTTTTATTTTTATTTTTTAGAAAAAAAAAAAAGCATTTTAAATTCACATTTCTCTAATTCCCTTTGATCCTTTTAAGTTAATATGTAATGAGTGACCCTTCTATGATATAACCTAGATTAATGTCTATATACTTAATTTAAATTTCTAGATTATCACATGGTACCTCTTGAAACGTGTACGCATATATTCATACATATCTTGGATGCCCAAAAGGTTTTCAACACATGCATACATGTGTTTCCTTTTTCTGTCTTTCTTCAAACGATAAGCTAGCTTATCGATTATTATGATTCAATAAGTTACTAATTTCATGTAGAAAAGTCATAGTTTGTTAAATTTAGGGATTATTCCTAAAAAATGGGATTATGAAGGTCAAAGGACAAATTCATGGAGTCCAAGTGAATCTTTCCAAAAAAATGGATTTACAGAGGATAAATGCCAAAATCATGGAAATATACTGTACATGGTATTTTGAATCCCAAACTGCCCTTTGAAAATTTACTTCTTGCCCAGCAAACCCAGAACAATTCCAGCCAAAAACCATTAAAAAAAAAAAAAAAAAAAAAAAAAAAAACATCATCTTCTTCACAAGCGTTGTTGGAATGATGTTGGCATAGAGAGATTGGTTATATGTGTGTGTGTGTGTGTATGTGTGTGTGTATTTGTAAGAATCAGTGGCAGATCAAGAGAGAAAGAGGAGGTTTGAGAGAGAGAGAGACTCGTCAATGGCGGATCAAGAGGAGGAACCGCCAAAGTCGACACAATAATGGGTCTCGCTGCCGGCAGTTGGTGGTCGGCGGTCTGGAGAAACAGAGAGAACTCTGGCAAGCAAGAACTGAACCGACAGAGGAAAACAGAACGTCAGCGATCAGAGACTAAGACTTCAGGCGCTGAAGGGAGCCGACATTGGACCGAGCAATGACTGAACTGAGATAGATGCCAGTGACTTAGACCGAATTGACGAGCAAGGTAGGACGGTGATGACAGTACTAGTAAAGTTGGTGGAGGGGTAATAGGGTTATTTCTCAAGACAATCGAGGGGTAATTTGGTAATCAAGACTAAATCCATTTTTTTTTGGAAGAACTGACTTGGACTCCATGAATTTGTCCTTTGTCTTTCATAATCCCATTTTTTAGGAATAATCCCTTAAATTTATTTATCATTAATAATGCTTGTCAAATACAGTTTTTATATATAAAAATTTGTTTTGTAGTTGTCATGTCCATAATGTGTTCGTGTCCAACTTAAGATTTGTCATATCAACATGCTACTGTCATGTCTTGTTCGTATCTTGAGTGTGTATCCATGCTTTATAGGTTGATGCTCAGTCAGAATATTTTAGTATATGCCAAAAAAGCAAAATAAATAAATAAAATTCCATGCCCTTTTGCAAATACGTCGTCACACTCATGCTGGTATTTTAGGTATAGACAGTATCATGAATATGCTTGTAACTATATTAATTGGGCAATTGGCTAGATTGAAAATAGGATAGAAATAGAACGTCTCTCTCCCTTTTTTTTTTCTTTTTCTTTTTTAATTGAGCATCATTGATTCATAAGCCAAAACTTTGCCAATTAAATTTGTAAATTTGAAATACAACAGGTGCAAAGACAGCTACAGTTACGGATAGAAGCCCAAGGGAAGTACTTGAAGAAGATAATTGAAGAGCAACAACGAATCAGTGGAGTTATTTCAGAAGTGCCTGGTCCGGGGGCCTCTGCCCCGGTGTCAGCTGACAACTGTCCTGAATCTGACAATAAGACTGACCCAGCAACCCCTGCCCCAACTTCTGAGTATCCACTCCTAGAGAAGGCCACCAAGGAACGATCCCCAGCCAAGAGTGTTTCTGTTGATGAATTGTTCTCTTCTCGTCACGAGCCACTGACACCAGATTCAGGTTGCCATGGCAGTTCACCAGCTGAGAGCCCAAAAGGTGAGAGGTCACTGAAGAAGCAAAGAGTGAGCATGGGTGCATCCTATGCTAAACCAGAGGTGATGCTTACACACCCGATATTTGAGTCGAGCTTAAGCCCACCTTACCAGCAACCAAACTCAGTTTTCTTGACCAGAGAACAGTTTGATCATTCAGCTGGGATATCTATTGGCAGCAAAGATCCACTGGGAAAAATTTCAGGTAGCAATTTATAGTTTGGTGTACTTTGTGTGTTATTTGCATATCAGGACTTCCGATTTCCCTTGTATGTGTAGTTTCTAGAAAAAAATATATATATAAATTTGATTAGGTCAAAGAACACTGTCAGTTTTAGTTAAGAGATTGTATCATTAGAAAACACTTGTCCTCAGAATTACTATTTCTTCCTATGCGAAAATTGAAATCCCATTAATAATGTGAATTTTACCCTACCCACCAGATATTGCACCATAAATCCCACCAATGTTGAGGTTGACAGGCTCTTGTGGATAGATAGTGTTTCAATTTAGTTGAGGAATTATGCCTCCTGGTTGAACAAAGGTGCAAACCTGAAAGAGCACTGGTGGAAAGTTCGCACAGAAATTCTGTTTAAAGTATTGTCTGTGACTTGTGGGCGTGCCTCCGAGCTATGCTTTGAATCTTGAAGTAAGACAGAATCCGGAAATGTTGCATATGATGTCAAAGGCCCAAGTTTCCAGTTTTAACATGCAGAAAGTGAAGCAGCAACCTCCGAAATGAGGAGGCAAAAGTTCCAAAGAAGTCTTGGCTATCAAATTCCAATTTGTGAGACAGGTGTGTAGAATTGGCCTTGTAATGCTTATGATTCTGTTCTGACCTCCCAAAAATCAATTGAGTTGTGGCTTTTGTGCTACATGGCTATGCATTGAACCAGTGGGATGGCCAACTTCTGGCAGTTCCTTGGCCATTGAATGAATAATCAAAAGGATAACATTAGCCTATAAATGCTGATAATCTTTCTTTTTTTCACATTAAGCAGAAATTAATCAAATAATATTCTAAGCAATTTATGCACCTGGTTTCCAATTTCTAAAATCAGATTAAGCATTGAGCATATCTTAAAAAGTTCAAACATAAAATTAAATAGTTGAATTATCCAATTTCTAAAATCACAATTGTCTTTCATCAACATTATAGTGGAGCCTAGTGAGTGGTTGGAGGAGAGCAGAAAAGCTAAATGAAGGAGGTGGGGTCTGTTTGGGGAGAAAGTCTTCAAGACTTGTGCAAGTACTGTCAAAATTTTGAACTTCTGCAAAGCAAAACTGCTTCTCTGTAGCAAAAGCAATAAACTGGAGAAGAAAAGCTGAATGCAACAAACAGGCACATATCTTTTGTCTAAAAGGAAAAATTAAAACAGAATAAAAGTTGGGAATAAGATTTAAAATAACAACTATCCACCTTTAATTGTGCCTAAAGTTACAAAACAGCACTATGTGATGACGTCCTCTCATAAAAAGTGGAGTGTTGTCAAATCCTTACTCCAACCCTTCACATGCTGAGTGATCTGCCAATGATAGCGTCATATAGACACACACACTCACACACACACACACACACACACAGACTCATCAACCACATGTTATGTTCACATGCAAAAGTTAAAATGGTATCCTGAATTTTGATCAGAACTCATGGTTGTACATTTGGAGAAAATGATACAAGGAGAGATGAAAAATTTACAAAATAAATTGAGGGGAACAGCTACAGTTACAAACCACCTATCTTTTCTAAAATACATTTAGGTATCATGAGGAGCGATGTCTCCTATGATTAACTCGCTTCAGAATGCAATGGCGCAGCCGTTGGCTTAGGGCCTCTAGTTTTTCAAATTTCTCGCGTTTGGTCTTCTTTGCAACTGTCGGAGCTTTTTTCTTCTTTCCCTCTTTTGGTGAGTCTGGTGGTTTCTGTTGGATACCTCGAAGAGGGGTTGCAAGCACCGCTATCATCTAAATCAAATACAAAGATAACAAGTTGCTCATCAAGAAATACAATATTAGGGGGAAAAAAAACAAAAGCTTTTGGATCTGAAATGCAGTTCAGTGAAACTAAAATTGATTTGGTTTGCTGACGTGCACAATTACAACAATCCACAAGTGACAATTTCAGGCAATTTGGGGTATTAAATGGTTAAAACCGAACTTGAAAAAAATAATCAAAGAGGGATGTAGGTACAGATATGTTTATTGTGCCTAAGCAGAGTCCGCAACTTAAACCCAGGTTCATTGTACAACCTTCAATAAAACTTTTCCACCTAAGCAAGATAGCATCTTCTCATAACCATTATGCTACACACAGCTCGGTGTGTGTGAGAGAGAGAGACTTCTTGATGAACACGTCATTGAAATTTAATTCCACCAAGTCACTAATAAAAAAATGCCCTAAAAACTCATTCTGTTTGCTTTACAGATTTAATAAGGGAAAAGGAAAGAACAAGTAAACGGAGAAGTGAGTTTGCTCATATTCTTTTTCTTGCTTAAATAAGATGAGAAATTATAATTTTCTCAAAAAGGTTGACAATTAGAAAAGGAAAAGGAAAATGATACGTAATGTAAAAATATTATCCCTTTCCTTATATTTTGTTTCCCGTCCAGTTTTCATGGTAACTAAATAAGAGAATGATTTTCCAAGCACCTGTCTTTTCCTTTTTCTCACTAAAATTCGTGAAACAAACGGAAATAGGCTGGAGTCGGAGAATAGAATTCATGCTTAGGGGTTGTTTGTTTTTGCCTGGACAACATTACTTTCTACACCAATTCCTCCCAACCAATCTCAACCCAAAAACCCACATAAAAAATTTCCAAGTCCTGATTAGGCCTTAAAACGACAACTAATCCTTAAATCCTACTTTTGACCAATCTAAACCCAAATTTACTGTCCCATTTCATGCTGCAGAGTGCTGACCCCAACTAATCCAGAGTTTCTCTTATAATTGACGACAATATGAAAGGCTTACTTGTAGTGGTTAAAAATGGAAAACAACTGAAAAAAACATTTTAAGCAACTGTACAGAAATGTGCATAATAGAGAGAGAGAGAGAGAGAGACCTGATCGCTGTTGTTCGCAGTTGTGCAATTTGCAGAAGGTTCGTCATAACTACCCAAAGACGAGCATCTTCCCCAACTCTCTCTATTTGAGCTTGTATACGAGCAACATTCCTCATTTGGGCCAATTGGCTTATCCTGTGCAGATTTAAAATTCAGAACTCACAATACAACGATTTCAGTGAAATAAGCAAACCTAAATTCTACAGTTCAAATTTTAGAATAGATTATGTTCCAGGGCTAAGGCCAATCCTGAGTAATAAAGTCAAAATGAACAGCAAATTAAAGGTAATTGAGTGATCACAAACTCACGCACATGCACGGAATAGTATTATATCCAATTAGTATCACTTCTAACTTTATCTTAATGTGTGGAAGATTATCTTCTGGTTAAAGGAGTGTACAGTAAACTAATATCAAACCAGTGTTGAAGAACTATCTTCTGGTTCAGGGAGTCAATTTAAATTAAGACAAGGCCATACTTTTATATTGAAAAGTAGACCTCATAGGATAATACATCAAGAAACTACAAATTTGAAATCGGATACATAGTATGAACCAAAATCACCTGTAGTTGTGACGGGTCATCATCATTTAGTATATTATCTTCATTGATTAAGGATTCCTGCATTTTCATATACAATAAGAAATAGAACGGTAATTTACGGACAAGTGTGATTAGGGATAAAACAGTAACTAAAACTGCAAAGAAAGATTCATACACTTGTAACTGGAGGAATATCAGAAAGAAATTCACTGACAGATTTTGTGTTCAAAGTACTAGGTGGTGCAGATGATGAGCTTGCAGCATCGGTACCCACAGTTCGAAGACCAGTGATTATCTCATATAATAGACTCTAAAAACAAAAGAAGCACAAACTCCATGTCATCGTCCATGAAAGAAATATCACCCAAATAAATTTACAGGACTTGGTGTCATTGCACTAAGGTCCCAGTCAGGTTGCCAACCACCAATTACATGTCATCAGGCGCTATGAAAGCTATAATTACATCATAAATCAACCAATGCAAAACGCATTGAAGAATGTTAACAAGGTTTGGCATACTATATCTACAGAGTAAGATCATCACACCATGACTGAATTTTTAGTTCTTTAAATGGATTTTTCTAAATTGTTTGGTTGACATCATCATTGTATGATGATACAACCGACTTTGCAAAGTACATTATCCCACCATTCCATCATATCTGGACAGTCCCCTGTATATTTTCTGACAATTGTTGCAGCACTCATTTTGGCACAAAATTTTAATTTTTATTTATTTATTTATTTTTAAGGTAATTTTAAATATTTTCTGTGGCACATTATTTACACCAAAAATTATTCAACGTACTGTGGACCCTGTGGTGGACATTTTCAGGAGAGAGATTGCAGATTATGTGCCAGAGTTAGGTTACTGAGAATTCCCACAACAGGCGTGTAGAGGAAGTGCAACTTTGGGAGGTTACTGAAGGAACATATTGCAACCTCAAGAGAAGGCTTAGAAGTCAATGGGCATTCCTAAAAGAGATGCAAAATACACTTGCAAAGCGATGATAAAAAGAAGTTTAAAGCAACTAGAAGAAATTATTTCCAGCAATAAGACGACAGTGAAGACATAGAAGAGAGTTCCAGTGGCAACCAACCCAGCCATATGTTGCCTTTACTTTATCCTAGTCCTAGCTGTTAATCTATAACCTAGCTTCTCATGCACCCTCAGTTTTGACTCTTATCTTCACTTCAAAAACAATTTATTGCATTATGATCGTATCTTAATTAAAGTACGAAATATGAGATTTATTTCCTGCAATGTCATCTATCTGCTTTATTTTCTTCAATCGTCCAGTGAAATTTGAAGTTACCTCACCGACCACCCCCACCACCCCCCCCTCCAAAACACCAAAACGTACATGTGTTGACACGATACAACATGGGTATTGGTATCACACACACCCATATCGGGCACTTGGATCTTTTAAATGTGATGAAGAAAAGCTCAAATTTTATAGCAAAGAAGGTTATCCTTATATTTTTCACAATATGCCATTTAATTTGAATTATTGATGAATACTTCAAAGAATAATAGCATCATACGTTATAATCTTATGTGGTATAACCCATTAGGAGGTGCATCCAACTTACCCTCTCTTTTTTTTCTTTTCTTTTTTTTCTTTTTTCTGCGGGGCAACATAAAAGGGGGGGAAAATGGGAAACTTCACTACACACAAACATAGTAAGTCCAAACCTCTTACTAGAAGGTATCCTGGGACACCCTCTGGGTACCAACCTTCAAAAGAAAAGTAAGTTCAGAACTATTATTCACCCCCTCAAAGACAACATTTAACTATAAAAAAATTTATATAATGAAATGAAAATCACCTCATCTATACCAGCACCAACCTTCAGGTCCCCCAAATCATAATATTTCTCAAGCTTACTTGAATAAGCAGGAGAAACTCGAGGAGGGTGAAGGATGTTGTAGAAGAAAATTGATACTGAATCATAATAGAACTGTGGTCGAGAGGAGTTGTGATCACCATCAAATTTTATTATATTTTTATCCCCCTGCACAAAATAGAAACATGGTTGAGTATTTTAAAAAGCTTTATCACTTCTAGAAATAACCATGAGAACTTGGAATAACTTGATACCGCATAGGAATTAAAGATGAGATCAGAGTGACGGGGTTGAATAAACTTGTCATCCTTAGCATGTCCAAATAAAGCAGGAATAAATGTTTTGGGTGCAGCCTGCAGGTGTTGAAGTTTATTAGCATATGAATTATTAATGGATAAAATTGTTGTGTTCAATCTACAGGTTATCTAGGACAATAAAATGAGTGGGGAAAAGGATTTATCCCGACTAATTATATGCTTTAAAATATATTGATTGATTAATCCCACAAGCAAATATATTCTTCTCGCAAAAAGAAACTGGATTTGCACCTTGTAGGAAACAATAAAAAAATACATCAACTTTAAGATAAAAAGGACAAACTCATCATTCACAATGATTTAATAAATATAGACAAACCTTTATACAATTAAGGTTCATAATGTCAAATTTGGCCTTCCTTTGGATTATCCGTCGCATGTATTGTACTGCCACCTTAACCTGAAATTGGGAAAGAAGATCTCACACTATGATTGAGAGGATACACTAGCATCACCACACACGGACTCCCTGTTGTTAACTAGACTTTCAGTACAAAGAGTTGACATTTTAATAGCATGCGTAACTCCAACCCCAACCATAACGAAATGCCCAAAATTCTAATAGAAGGATATATGTTCCACAATAACAAAGCAAACGGTATTATGACTCTTCATCACCTTTAATCCTGATCAAAGATTCAAATACACACACAAGAACTAAATGTTGACTTTATCTCACAAATGGTTTTTATTTTGGTTTTCTCATCCAATTATTAGTAAACCATTTTTTTTTTCATACAGTAAACATCAGTACATCACTAGAAATTGGAACACAATACTTGTGGATTGTTGGAGTCTCAGAAACAATAAAGGAAATAATTTGAAAGAGAAAAAAATGGCAATTCATAGAATATGGGCATTTATCCAAATAAAGAGTGAAAAGCTTACAAGATGATAGAAATAATCACAAACTGCAAGCAGGTAACATGAGACAAAAACTATGCGTGAATGAATTTCCCAAATATTTTCAAACTGAACAAAATACGCCCAAAGCATATAGAGGAATCTTTAAAATATTATCAATACCATACCAAATAATAAATTAAAGCAGAGGGCGCACCTAAACCAAATGAAAAACTAAACTGATTGTCTAACTCAAAAGCCATAGCATGTGAACCAGTTTGTGTACCAGGTGAAATTGTAACTTATCATGTCCGTTAACTGATCCAAGGCTAATCAGGTCTGTTAAATGAACACAAGCTATACATGGACTCGACACAATATGCAGATGTCATAAGTTCCGAGAGAACAAGAAAGAACACAGCAAGGATACGGCAATGTTTTCACAAGTACAAACCTACACGATCATGACCAATCAGGTCTTCAAGTACCAGTAGATCTGAGGAGATTACTATGATCATTGCTATATCCATATTAAAGAGATCTAATAAAGTGTTGGACCATCCTGCAATGTTCAATGATCGTAAGCTATAGCTTCCATCAAGGTGTCGAATGAATCTCTCTCTGGAATTGCAGCTCACCTCCTTGTCCTCTTCCTCCTTTAGTTGATATCTCATTGTGCCCATAGTCTTTCTTTGAACATGGTTCAGATATTTATAATTTTCATTCAACTTCAATAATTTCTTCCATTTCTGCTATTTAATTGTACTTTAGAATCATATCCATTGTCCCAGGCATGTCAAACACATGCCAAAAGTGTACAACAAACAGCTGTTAAGTGCTCAAAATTATAAAAACAAAGACATATATATATTTATTAAATTATGGACATCCAAAGTGTGATGAACATGTGCCTAGTTATGTCGATTCATATTGATACACAAATATGGCCCCTCATAGAAGTAATATTGCTATGTGGGACAAAGGCTACAACCCACCCATAGACAAAATCCTACACACAACGTGGGTCTCGTGAGGTTTGTTAATTAGACAGCAAATCTTTAACCACGGCTGCTGAGAAGAGTTGTTTAGAGGCAATATAGATCCATTGACAGTATCAAAACCCAAAATACCGATATAATACTAAGCTAAGCCATACCGGCTGAAGCCTTAGGCCATTTAGGCAACTGCCTAAGGCTCCACTGGACTTACTAAAGGCTCTTTTTGTTTTTCATAAAGGTTTGTTCGGTTTATTACTTTTTGGAATTTCTATGTGTCTCCTTTAGGAAATCTTGTTTGTTTTCTAATATACACTTCCTATAATTCTTTGATCTTGTTAATATTGAACAACATGATGCTATTAAAATATTTTAGAGTAAACAAGTACTTTTATTACTTTTTTTTTCTTTGTTACTCCAAAAGTGGTTTTCATTTGAGGACATATGTAATGAAAACCCATATACTTATCAAATGATATTGAAAACCAATATTATAGAAGAGCAGAAGAAGGAATTTCATATATTTCAATTAATCATGAAAAAGCATTGAACTAAGTGTATTCTACATAAGTCAGGGGAAAACAAAGTGTATTCTACATACATCGAACTCTTGATGTGTGGATCACTAGCTCCTTTCACTCATGTCCTAAAAAGAGAATTTAGAAAAGAAATAAAATGAACTTCTTTTGAAATACTAATTAAATTATTTGGAACAAAAGTGGCCAAATGGAATGCATGCCCTAACATCAAGTACAAGGCATGTAATGGAATTCCTAACAATGAACAAATGTAGTAACTCCATATAAATTGAATATTGTTCATCATATGTACACACTTAAATATATGGCTATATCATCATCAGACAGGCATAACTAAAACCATAGCCATATTCTGCAGGAATAAACAAAAGTAATAGCACTGAAGAAAAAAATAAATTGTGTCAACATATGCACACAAACACGGTGAGAGAACCATACAGTAAATTTGGGAAGCCTGATTTTGTACACATCCACAAGTTCCATCATTAGATCAAATAAGTTTGAGAAGGCACTATCCAACACCATTCCAGCTATGGATGGGTCTTCTGCTCCATAAAGAAGGCTGCAAAGCATTACACAAAATCAAAATCCTTAAACATTCGGAGTCTGATAATATATCTATTACCAGAAAAATGAATGGCAATTAATGGTTACGATTCTTACGACATAATTCTACAATTTAGGGGAGGGTCAGTTGTTTGTTGGATTTTACCATCCATATTAAAAATTGAAGCTTCTAACATCAGTTAGAAATTCTTTTAACATTTTAAAGAAAGATAATAGCATTGACAAACAAGTTCTAATGCACAACCAAAAAAAAAAAAAAAAACACTGAATTTGTGAGTATAATTCAAGAGATCAAATTTTCTACTATAGCATATGCATCCTTTCCTGAAGCCAAAAAGCATTTCTAACACTTGGCATAGCATGGTTCATATTACTAGACTTTCAAGTTGCAAAGAAAATTTGAAGCAAAATATTAATAATAAGCCAACATAATAGCCAGTCAGACAAAGAGGAAGAAGAAATACCCAGTTACTGCACCCATTGACCGTCCCCAAAGACCCACACGTGATATTTGTTCGTTGCTTCTCAGATAAGACACCACAACCTTGAGATCTTCTTTCTGGATACAAATAAAAACAAACTTGCAAACTTCAAGAGGGGTGCAACTCAAGGAACTCATAATAAAATGGAAAAGGGGGAAAAAAAATACCTCATGCCAACCAAGGCTGACATAATCACCATCGGATAAGCCTGACCCCGAAAAATCAAGAGTGAACACAGTAATGTTTGATGGAAGAAGAATTACAGCAGCCTCATTTGCATCTGCCCTACATCCACTGCAGGATCCACACAAGCAAAACAATGAATTTTCACCTCATTATATGCAAAGTGCTCTTTGTATTAAATCAATATTCTTTCCAAAAAGTAAAATAAGAAATACAACTTTCAAATAAGGGAATCACACTTTCTATTTGGTAAGCAAGCATACACACCAAACTCACACACACTAAATCACTAGTACACCGTTATTGCCCCAATGGGATTTGAACCCTGGCCCTAGTGGAAAAGAAGGAAATACCACTTGAGCGAAAGCCCTGGTGGTAGGAATAACACTAAGACATTACACATTCAACTTCATTAATACATGCATGCAGAGTTCAGTTTCCAGGGGATGGAATGTTCACACTCCAAAGTGACCATAACAAACCTGTTTCCATGGCAGTATATAACACAAGGAAGAGGAGTGTTTTCTGGGAAAGGCGAAGGCACATAATGACTACACTGCAACATGTGGCCTCTTCCATTTCTAAGCTGGAAATTTCAAAAAAAATATTCTAGAAATCTTAGAATCCATTATAAGAATGCATATAGGAATATAAGACAGAGGTTAGGTAATGAATGTCCATACTTGCCTCCAGGTCTTGTCTTTTGTATTTTCTGCCTGCAAGACTAAAATCTTTTTCCCATAAATACTGATCCGGGTTATATTCCGCCCTGTTCATCCAACATAGAGATGGCTCAAAAAAAGTCAACAGGCGGTAATTTAGGCTGAACCCAAATGGGTGTCCGAGGCATAGAGGTCTGGTGGTTTAGGAGTGATTGCAGTATCTGAAGGGATTAGAACCACCCCTGAATGGAGTGGGAACACCTTCTGTTACCGAAAAATAAAAAAATAAAACATAGAGGACATTTTGGACTGTCCTGCTAGATTATGTTGGGAGAAAAAACAATAATATGTAAAGTTGAGGGGGAACTAGAGGTTAATATACCTGGGCGGCCGAATGACAAAATTGATGAACTGATCAATCATCCTCCACAGAAGAGCCTAAGAGCCACTCCGCCTCGGCGAGAAAAAGTATAGCGGAGTCTATGGGAAGCTGGAATTCAAACCCCTACCATGTCAAAATAGAACCCCTTTTCCTTGATCTAGAATGCCAGACGTTTGTGCAATAGCAGACAACAAGAATGGCTAAAAATGTCTTGTGAAAGACAATGACCTTTGAACTATAAATGAAACTCAGTAACAATAATGATATACAATCATCACAATCATCATATATTCATATCCAACTATCTGACCACCACCAGAATCTCAGCAAAAGCCTCCACCAGACCAAAAAGTTGAATTTTGCTAGCTATGCACAGATAGAAACCCTCAAATCAAACTGGACAAACCCTTTCCAAAATGTTGAAGATGGTATGAATTCGAGTCGAGACAAGCAACAACAGCACCAATACAGAGCCCTTCTCAGCTTTTTGAAGACATATTGCTATAGATCCATCACCAGCAACAACCAAGAATATAGAAAATTTTGATTCTAGAAAAAAGGCCTCTGAATCTGGAAGCTTTAAACTTACCTGGTAAAGGCTGACCCAACTTTTATCTATTAATGAAGAAAATAAATATCACATTAAAAGAAAAACATAAATGACTGGTTGTTAATGATGCTAAAGAAAAAGTTAGATCTCAAACTAGAACTTGATATCAAATTTCAAAATCTTACAACTTCAGATCTTAAACTTAACCCTTAAAACAATACTATAAGCTCAAGAGAAAATTAGAGAAAAGGTAAACAAAAAGAAAAGCTAAAGGGAAAACAAAAGCTAAATCTACAGGAAAAAGGTGGAAGTTACTTGGGGCAAGAATTGAAATTTGGACACAGATTGGAAAGCCCACTTGAACCGTGACCTAACAGCAATTAACGACTTTTTTTTTTTTCCTTTTTGGGTTGAGAGAAAATGAAATGTGATTCGAAGATAAAGAGATTCAGAAGCATTGAAAGATATTTTCCTTGGAAAATTTACCTTATCAATATGTAATATGAAATAGTATCAGATATATATATATATACATATATATAGAGAGAGAGAGGATGGAACAGTTGCTGCTGAGCTGTTGGTACTCGGTTCTACTTCTTCTTCTTCAAATTTGTTCAAAAGAAGGCCTGGGAAGACGACAACACCAATTTTTTTTTTGTTCGGAAGTTACGACGACACCAATTTCCCATTCAGAAGGAAACCACCTGCTAATTTTCTCGCCCTTTTCTTTCTTTTTATTATTATTATTATTATTTTCATTTGTTGAGTTTTATTTCATTTTATTTTTTTAAACAATTTCATTTGATGAGTTGATTAATCCAAATTCAATCCAATCTCATAACTAGACTCAAAGTGGAGCAAATTTAATGGGAAATATGGATTCAAAAATCCAAATGTGAATTGGAATTTGCATACAGGAACCAAATTCGACTCATATAATTTAAACAAATACAGAGTAAGAAAATCCAACTTATTTAAAAATTACTTAAATTCATATTTTGTAATCAAATTGGGCTTAAAAAGATAAATTACATTCACCTCGTGATATTTGAGCAAAGGAAAATGATAGGGTAATGATTTCTCCAATTAAGTCCCGAATCTGGCGTATTTTTGTCCACATCATCTACTTAAATAATTCTCAAAAAATAATTATTTAACACGTGATAAGTATAATCAACCACGTCAAATTCGATGTTAATTTGGGATTCCTTTTCAGTTCCCGTATCATTACTCTTGAGGAAAGAAAAATGATAAGGTCACCCAATGATTTCTCCGAATAAGTTCCGAATCTAACGTGTTTTTGTCTATATCACTACCTAAATAATTTTCAAAAAATAATTATTTAACACGTGATAAGTATAGTCAATTACGTCAAATTCGGTATTAATTCAGGAATTCTTTTTCGGTTCCCGTATCATTATTCTTGAGGAAAGGAAAATGATAGAGTCACCGAATGATTTCCCCGAATAAGTTCCGAATACGTATTTTTGTCCACATCATCTACTTAAATAATTTTTAAAAAATAATTGTTTAACATATGATAAATATAACCAAACACATCAAAATTGGTGTTAATTCGGAAATTCTTTTTCGGTTCCGTATCATTACTCTAGGAAATCACACTTAACGTAGCATTCAGACTTTATTGCTTCGGTCTCTTTCATACCTTTATGGCTTTATCTAAACACTACATTATCCTAACTATTTTTTTATAAAAAAATAAATAACCTAATCAAACCTAAAAAAAAACCTAATCAAATGTCATTAATAAAAATATATATTTTTGTAAAATTTAATAATATAAAAATTAACTTTGCATAACATTTTATGATATTTTTGTCATTTCATATCAAAATATAAAGTTATTGAGGTCTTTTATAATAATAATTAAAAAAAAAAAAAGATAGGACAAGACTTGCCTATTCACCCGTGAATATGTGATCCCTACTAACAACTGATATGGTCCAAAATGCACAAATAATTGGTAATTATAAAAACTTAAAAGTGATGAATAAGAAAATTAGAGAGGATGACTGAATTTATTTTTTAAAAAAAATATTGTTTTTATTTATCACTTTTCAGATTTTATAATTACAAATTATTTGTGCATTTGTGATTTGATTACATTAACGGTTAGTAAGAATGACCTACTCACCGGTAAATAGACAAGTTTTATCCATATATATTTTTTTCCCACATAGCATATAGAATATATATATATATATATTTAAATTAGATCCAAAATAGTGACTTCAAATTGCATTCACATGTCCATCCTTCAACCTAATTTTAATTCGGATTCAATTTTCTAAGCTAGATCCAAGTAGAATTTATAAAATTGTTACTCAAGTGAAATTAAACACATTGTAACCCCACCCAAGTCACGCCCCTATATTGCACCACTAATTTTCATGTTGTAAAGGGACCGCGTCACTACCCTATCACTTCTCCAACGAAAAACATCCAACACTGTTTTGGGAGGGCAACATTTTTACCGAGAATGGTCATATCAACTTCCACCTTGAGATTGTTTTACCAAAAATTATTCACCTTGAGATTGATGAATTGGTCTAGATAAGAGTGCATTTTTTATAATATATGCACTGAAGTATACATATTTTTCATGAACATGGTTTTCATGATGTTAAAAAAAACTAAAAATAAAATTTTGACCTAGTTTAGTCACGATCCTAATGCATATCATTGGTGCAACATATTTATGCTTTACTTTTGATTAATATTAGAGTATGATAAATTTTCTGTAACTTTGAAGTTAACTTTTATGTAATTCCATCAATTACAATTTCAATACTCTAATTACATGCTAAACATAACCTTAATTCATTTGCATAGAAGGTTAGCTACAATTGCATTACCTCCAACCCCATGTATGAAATTAGTTTAATTCCGACCCATCTATTGAATGAAATGTGGATTCGAAGTACAAACCATAAAATTGCATTTTACAAATCTCTACTGTCAATGATGGAAGCACTTGGTACAATGCCTGACTGTGCCGTAACTCAACACCATTAGATAAAGATAATTAATGAAAAATAAATAAGAAAGCGGGCCTCGAGTAGGAGTTAATGTAACGCCTTCGTTTGAAGGCTTTCACATTGTACTGGGATGGTCTGGATCCTCTGGACCTTCAATGTCCCAATAAATTTTCTAGCTTGCCTTGCACATAGAGGGCAGTTAAAGTTGACCCACCGCAAAAAACTTTCTGCGTGTGTGTGTTGTACTATTTGTTTAGCACCCGTGTTGTACTACATCCAACTGTTTACACGCGAGAGCAAAATCATGCGTGTGCACTGCAAGCCTTTAATTATTACACTTCTTAATTTGGCACATATAGGAGGATGAGTTGGAATCTCGGAAAGAATAAAGAAGACAAACTTGGTGACAAAGTGCAAGACAAAATAATATAAGTGGAGGAGGAAGTGATCTCTCTTCCAAATCATGACATTGAACAAATGAAACAGAATCTTTCTGGGTTCTTCAATTGTACTACAAAAGCTTCTTCTGCTGACACTGAAAGTGTGCAGAACATTATCCAGCAACACCAAAATCAGATAACATAAAGCAGTTTCATAATTAAAAAGCAATGAGAGCCCTCTATACCAATGCAATAGCTCCCAAAAATGCACTGCTCCCCCATATCTGATCCTTCGGCAACTTCACAAATTTGCCAGTCAACAATCATAAATTATCACCTGCACCATTCATGTTTACACGCGACTCGTAGGCATATTTTGTAAGGCTTCCCTATAGTAAAAGTTCTAGATTCATCCCTGCATACAGCTTTTAACTTTTACAAGCCAAATCTTCGGTTTGCACCCTATTATCACTAGTAGATATGGATGCATCTCAAATGACAAGGCTTTAAACTTTCACTCTTCATTAATTTACAACTCCGGGATTACCCTTGGTAATTGCATGGCTTTACGGGAGCACGGAGAAAGGGTAAATAACAAGCAAGTAATGCTAAATGTAGATGCCAACCAAATGGTAGACTGGGTGAAGACGGATGTGGGGAGGATTGTTACGGATAATGGTAGGGTTAGTACTCAAATTAACTGAATGAAGTTCTATAGACTAGTGTTTGGCTTCACTAGGCCCTGGAGCTTCCACCCGCCAAGTCCTGCCAAGGAAAATGCCTGCAATTGAGAGACATGGGGTTAACAGATACAAAAAAGAATATCAAAAACAATAATAAAAATTCAATTTAACCTTGATAATACATTAAACAGCTCAGAAAGTGTGCAGTGTCAAGTTCTAACCCCATAAAAATTCTCAATAGAGTTGTACATGAACCTGTTTCTAATTATAACCTCTCCCGTCTATAGAACATTCTTTTCTCTTTATGTGATCTGAATATCAAACATTACCCTTCCATTCTAGTTTGTATACAAATTTTAGTATACGTGTTTATAGATTTCTTTTGTTAACAAAAATGGATTGTCCTGTCTGATCATGTAGCCTCCCCATCCACCTCACTAAAAGTTAAAAAGCCATTACACCTTAAAGTATTTGCTAATTATAACTTCCTTTCATACCAACAGGCCGGTGGCCTAGCGGTATTTCTCAAAGAGAGGTCAAGGGTTCGAGCCTCAGTGGAGGCATGTGTGTGTGAGTACCAACTAAGGAAAAAAAATTATAACTTACTTTCATAACATAACATATTTTTCATAGAAGAAAAGCAATGTAAACCATTCTCACATATTATCTTTTGTAGTAGTACATTTCTACATAGTAATTACTAAAATTAATTAAATAACTCAAATATAACACATATGTCTATAATAACTACAAGAGAAAAGATGATGGAAGTCATCCAACTTAATTTGTGGTCTATTTAGTTCCCCTGGTAGAGGCCATCTACATTGCGCCAATAAATTGTGCTCCTTGTTTGATAAAATTGTTGAATGAACTGCATTGCCAAAAATCACATTAAAAGTCTAATTGGCAGATATGAACTTAATGCTTTAATAGACTGAAACCACTAAACAGTAAACGAAAGAGTATCTATGGAAAGACAACAGGGAGAGGAATAAAACAAAGGTGGTGAACCTAGTACAGTATAAGATATTGACATAACACATATACGAGTATTATACAATAGCAAGTATGACCTCATATCCAGCTGAATGGAAAAACATGGTTTGTGTAGCAGATCTCAAATAGTTGGCTCAAGGGCTGTAACAGTTTTTTTTTTTTTGGACTACCAGTCTTCAAACCTTTACCTAGGACTTGGGACCCAAAGCCGCTAGAACAAAGATAGACCAGTAGGGCTTTAACAGGTTTCAACCACAGAGAATCTTTAGCCAATAAAATAAGCTCAAACAGTCTTCATAACCAACAAATTCTCCAATTGGATATATCATTAACCAAATGATACTTCAAGGAGAGAAAATCTTACCAAATCAATCTAGCACTGTTTGGCTACATAATAATCCCAATCCCAAGATAAAACTTCATCAACGCAATACGGAATGCACTTGTGAAATGCAAGAATGCATGTTCTGATCACTTTGATGAATATTAATGAACAATACAAGCCAGCATATAATAGTGATAAAAATCAAAACATGCTTAACCTCTTCCCATGATTTCCCCGTAGCTTCAAGCAAAGCAGCATTGGAAGTCTTCAGTTCTATAGAGACACCCGAAAGCATTGAGGCCGCTTCCTCCCATCCCCTATTGTGACCCATACACCTGTAGAATTACTTCTAGATCAAAATTCCCAAGTAACATCCCAATCCACTCCCATGATGAACAAGCACCAGACATGTAAGGCTTAGCAAACACATATATAAAGCAGAATCAAAAACCACTTGTTTAAATGGAAAAGTATGATAACCAAAACCAAATTCTTAATTAATTAATTTATTTATTATTTTGTTATATTACTCTAATAATTTTTTTAATAGGGTACTTCAGTGAGAAGAAAGCTAAAAATAAAAAAGGAATTAAAACCCTGTATAACTCATTTTCCAAATACTAATTGTTTCCTGCGCAAGAAGACACCAAACTAAATTTGATTTTATAAGATTGGGAACCATCACTCACATTTTAGTTATTTGTTATTATTGCTTTTGGATAGCTAAAAAGGGAATTCATATAAAAGGCACCAAGAGGCACAACCCGTTTACACACGATGCATACAATGAGTAAACAAAAAGAAAAGATAAATTTATAATCCAAAGACCTAAAACGCAAAAGTCAATATATAAATAAATATATTGTCAGCACATCAAGCAAAATACTTTTGCTGTAAAACCCATACCTACTCTATCCACATTTGATTTTTATAGTCAAAGGATGTTAATTGTGTATTGTAGGTGCCCAAAGAAACGTAACTGCAGTATTGAAAGGAACAGAGCCGTCACTAGAAATGAAAGTAAAAATTTGGAACAACTCGGATAATGATTCTCTATCGGATAAATAGACCAACTAGAAATCCTATATAAATGTGAAACTACTCATTTCAAGGATTATGTGCATTACCCAGTGTATGTCCCGCCAACTCATTTCAATTAATATGTAAAACATGAAAAATCTTCATGTCTGTGGTGTGTCAAGATGCACCCTGAATTACACAAATACCTCACCTATTAAATGGAACGCCAAAGAAGCTGTAACAGTCAGCAGAACTCACATAACTGTAAGTATCTCATCCCTTGAATTTTTACGGATAGCCTGTTGAAGGTGTTCAGCTGTCTGCCCATCCATTGCTGCAATGGAATAAAAGCTTGGAATGAAATGCACCTCAGCTTCTGAAAATCCCTGCACTTGCTCCTGCATAATTTTAAGTGTTTCTCTTGTTCGCTTTGCATCACTACACCAACACATCAGTTGAGAATTTCAGAACAAACACAGAGCAATCATCCATGGATAGAATTAAATTTAGCATGATGGAGTAAACTTTTCCAATGCTATGTAATTATTCCTGAGAGAATCTGACCTAGATAAAATAAGCTCAGGAATCCAACCCAACTCTTGGAGCTTGTGAGAAACTTTAACAGCATCTGCTTTTCCAGCTTTGCTCAGAGGGCGTTCATGGTCTATGCAAGACAGCAAAGTAAACTATGATCAATAAGCCTGAACATGATTTCCTTTCTAGTCTTGCTTCGGTAATAAATTAGACCAATACATCAATCTGATTGCTTGTCCACATATAGCTATTATTATGTCTGCCTCAAACATGTAAATAACAAAATTCATGAATTTTTTTTATAGGGCACAAGGATACAAAGGATTGACATATTATTTTCTTACTTCTATATTTTATGGACAATGGTTTTGCAGGTTAAACTTACAGGGAAGAGAAAAGGCTTATATTTCCTAAAATATATTTGGGTTTTGACGAAGGCTTTCAGCTTCAAATATCACCCATAAATTAAACATTTCATAACTTTTTTCCAGTGCATTTGAAGAAAGCTAATCAAACCCAAAACAAGCAATTAAGAGAGACCAAAGGGCTGGTGGTTGGAAAGGTTCCACGTCTCCAAAAAAAATGAAAGGAAGGGAAAAAAAAAAAAAAAAAAAAACGATTAAGAGAGAGAGAGAGCGAGATGGAGAGAGAGGCTAGTAAAAAACAAACACATTGTGGAATTAATGTTTTGTAATGATGAAAGTATTTAATTGATAAATAAGTTTGTTGAAATTAAACAAGTTTGTTATTCAGTGTTTAATAGAACAACAATTGTGTTATAAATTGATAAATAACTGCGTTGAAATGAAATAAGTGTGTTATTCAATTGAAGAATTACTGTGTTGTTCAGTGTTTAATTGAAGAATTAATGTGTTGATGTGTTGAAATGCGATGAGTTCAAATGAATTAAGTGTGTTTAATTTTAGAAATACTGTTTTGAAATGATGAATAAAAGTATTGAATTGATGAATAAGTGTGTTGAAATGAAACAAGTGTGTGATTCAGTGTTTAATTGAAGAATAAGTGAGTTATTAATTGATGAATAAGTGTGCTGTGCTAAACAGAATCAAATGTTTGCACTTCACTTCCATTCCTATCAAAATTTCATCAGTCAAACCTACGTAGTAGTGAGCTAGAGACAAGAATAAAAAGATAAACAGAAAATATGTAGTCTTGTAAACATTGGTACTCTAAACCTCCACATTATCTTCAAATTGAACATAATCCAAAAAAGTTTTTCAAATAACCAAGAGATATATATAGAAAGTATGGCCTCAGATACCTCGCAACGAACGATCTTCCCATGAACTCTTGGCATGACGGAGCAGGATCAAACGACGAGTGACCGATTCCGGAAGAGCTTCCTCCGAAGACTGGCCTTGGACGGTCTCGATGATGAGGGATCGAGGAGGAGGCGAGCGGCGAGGGTTTCTGCAACGGGCGGAGGAATTAGGGCAGATGGATGAGGGTGAAGACGATGTTTTAGAGAGAGAGAAAATGGGCATGGGGATGAGCAAATTACTTAGCCCTACATTCATGGTGATGATGGTGGTGAGACGATATATATGTGTATGTATGTGTGTGTTTATATATATATTGAACGGCGACGAGCCACACGGTTCTCAGTTTACACACAGTTCAGCACTTCATCATCATCATCTTTCTTATTTTAGTTTCGTCCTCTCCTCTTGTAGCGTACATTATTTGCGTTTTGTTCGTGCTCGGTTCGCACGTGAGTTGAAGAACCGGATTATACTACAAATGAACCGAGCTTGTTACCACAAGCTCCGAGTAAACCTTGGCCTACAAATTAGCCGAGTCGGACTTGAGTGTATATATATATATATATTTTTTATCTCGACAATAAAAAAAATAGATATGCGCCATCTACAAACGCTGTCATAAATGATCATATAGAGGCAAAAAAAAATCATAAAGCAACAAAAGAAAAAAACTGAAAACACAGGCTTCAAATTTATTGAGAAACAAGTCAAGTGGAAAAGAGCAGCAAAGGGAATGATAAAAAAGTCAGGACGAGTTGGAGCTTTAGGCGGTGGCCTAACTCCCAGCTAATAGAAAGACTCCAAAATTTTAAAATTTTTTTATATTAAATTATACTGTAATTATTTCTTAATATTGTTAAAGTCTAATAAATTTTTTTTTTTTTTTTTTTCCTATCCCACACGTTTCGATTTTATATTAGGCTCAAATATTTATATTCTAAAATAACTTATTTTTTTTCTTTTCTCTCTCTCTCTTCTCATTCATTCCGATTTTATATTAGCCCTCAAATATTTATATCCTAAGATAACTTTTCTTTTTTTCTCCTTTCTCTCTCATCCTTTATTGCGTTGAACTCTAATTGATACATAAATTTAATATTGGCCCCAAAAATTTATATTTCTATATGACTTTTTTCCCTCCCTTTTTCCATTCTCATTCTCATTTTATAATAAATCCTAACCAATATAAAAATTTAATAATTCTTTAACCAAACTAATCAGAATCGTAAAAGACGAATTAGTTTCACAACCATAATTTGAATAATTTTCTGCCTGACCCGTAAGGATTCTTTCAATACTCTGGAGAGAGACCTCGCTTAGAGAGATTGCTTAAGAGAATTTGGTAGTGTTGACTCGAGCGGTAGTGGTGGTGCGACTATGGCAGTGGTGATGGCGGAATAGGGGTAAAACTTTGTCAGTTTTGGTGTAATTTGATTTGGGTCCCAATCTTCACCGGAAAGCACCGAACATGGAGGTCTCCGACATCGTTTGCCGGCAGCTTCCATGCTTCCCAAGCGCTGGAATCGAGATGCTCAATCAATTGATTCAACTTCCGGTATCTCCAATGATGTCCATGCTCTGTTTTAGCGACTAATCTAATTAAGAAAATATTCAATTAAAAATTATGAACTTGAGATGAAAAATATGGTTCTCTGCAACTCTTCCTTCTTCCAATGAGATATGATCGACTACTTTAGGAAATATATTGGGATAAAATTCAATGTAATATGTCACTTAAAATGATTCACTTGACTTCCAAAACATGAATTTAAAAAGCAAATTTTGTAGGCTTATTCAGAACAGACTTTCAAAGGCTTTCACTTTTATTAGAAGTCCATTTTACATTTCACGCCAAACACTCTATGTTTTTTAAGAATGGACTTTAGGGTTTGGAAGCGCGTTTCAGGCACCCAATTCTGCTCGGTTTTGCTTCATAGTTCTAGGCTTTTAAAAAAAATTATGCAAAATGGAAGAATCAATAAATCTTTAGTCCAACTAGCAAACATAAATAACATTTATATTTATTATATCATGGTTCAATTTGATTTAGTTTAAAATAAGGGATGAGATATTCGCAATCAACTTATCTTTTTCTTTTAAAAGAAGTGATAAAAAGGTCCTTGAATTAATTAATACATTATGTCTTATTTTATAATGACATAATTATTCTTTATACAACTAAATTTTTTTTTTCAATGATATACTTTTTTTCTTTTCTTTTAAGAGGTCCTCTCAAAGAAGATAATTTATTCCATAATGATAATTTTATTTTTGGCAGTCAAAAAAGATAATTTATTTTTTTATTTTATTTTATTTTATTTTATTTTTTTGGTGGTGCAATCAAAACAAATATTTTATTCAACAAAGTTAACTTTTTTTTTTTTTTTTCTTATCATGTCAAAAGACGTAATAAGTTTAACTCAAAAATGACTTAAAAAGATACCTTGATTAAGGTATTTTCATTCAAATGTTCAATCTTTATTCATTAAAACAGTTGTGGAATGACAATGCTAAAGTGTGCTTTCCAATTAGGCATGATCAGTTGAGTTTTAACCACTATTTTCGGTAGGAGTGCAACTTGGATTGGGTAACCCGAACCCTACCCGAGCCTAGCCCGATTTTTCACTAATTTGGGCAATCAATTTTACAATTAGGATTGGGTTTGGGTTGAAAAATCTCAACCCGAATTTAATTAGGATTGTGTTGAAAATTTAAAAAGATTTCCAAGTACTTTTCATCTTAAAGACGGTTAACCAACTTAACCCCACTTTCATAATACAAGTCAAAGAAGGTTATTCAATCTTGATTTAAGGAAGTCGTAAAGGTTTCACCATTCTGATTTGAATTATTTGGACCAAAGGATTTGGGTCTTGGGCTAGAGAAGAAAGCCTTACAGGATTTGGGATGGTTTGAAAGGTCCATGAATTTTTTATTTTTGTGATTTTTTATTGGTCCCATCAAAATAAATAATTTATTCAATAGAAATATATATAAATATTTTTTTGGGTATTATCAAAAGAGATAATTTATTTAATAGAGATATATATATTTTTTAATCCACTTTTTTCGTACTTTTTTATTTTGATCTTGACAAAAGAGATTATTTCTTCAATTTTTTTTTTTGTAAAAAGAGATAATTTTTCTTAAGGTTTTTTTTTTTTTTTTGGTCCGGCCAAAAGAAAATTTATTCAACATAAAAAAATTTTTTGGTCCCCAAAACAAAATATTATTCAATTTTTTTTATTTTTATTTTTATTTTTTGCCAAAAGAGATATAAAATATTAAAGATTAGAGATAAGGAAAAAAAATCTAAATGAACAGTTGTGTCATTTAAAAAGTAATAATAATTTATTTATAAAGTTAAAGATATAATTGTCATTTCATATAAGATTGTAATGTAAATGTAAAAAAGTGGAGTGCGAGTAGTGTCTCCCTAAAATAATTTAATTTCAAACTGGTTAATTATGTGTTAGCTGTTTTAAAATCGGGAATCAAGAAGAACCGGGTCAAATTAGTTATCTCAACACAAATTTCACAAATTTGGAATGAAAAAGAAAAAAAAAAACCTTCTCACCATGATTTTAGACAATTCTATTATTAAAATTACAAAATTACCAACTCATGTAATATATTCATAGATAATTAGATACACTAGGTCAAATTATTCTATTGTCATTGATGCACTATCACTTTTGAAATCAAATGCACAAACTCAACACATTTAATCCTGGTAACATCATTATTTTGAGGCTCAAAAAAATTGTGTAGCACTCCCACCTTAGTTTAACATGCTATAGGAAAGACTACAACACAATTATTTTGAAATTACAATAGTGTTATTTTCTACCTCCAATGCAACACATTAAAATAATGATGATGTTACACCTCGCAAGCACACTATTATGCTCAAAAACCATTTAAACCAAACGTAGCCATTTACTATTGATAATCCACGCAAGCAAATGATTTGTTTTTACCTTCAAAAAAAAAAAGAAAAAGAAAAAAAAGAAGCTATGATTTGTTTTTCTAGGTCATGGAGGGTGCCTTCACCTGTTTTGAGAGGGGGACTAATCCAACCCCACTCCCATACCCCACTCATTTCCATGTCTCTTCTTTTTCACCTAACTTTCACTCACATACAATGAAGGTTGCATGGTTGGGTGTGTGGGGGTTATTTTGGCTATGAAAAGCTTCATTTTCACATCAAACTTTTTGATCACATTCCAAAGGAGGCACAGAAACAAATACAAAGTTCTATCAACACAAACAAATTTTGAGTGAGTGGTTCTAGAATAGAAACTCTTAATTTAACCGGATTGGCCTGCGGAGTAGAAGACATGGAGGGCCGGACCTGATAATAATAATAAGTCATCCTAGTGGCCTCTGCTAAAGCCCAACTTACTATTGTGAGACATAGCGAGTACGAGAGTTGGAGTGTGAAAGCCGTAAAATACAAGGTAGAATAGTATTCATGTTATGTTTGGTTCGAGAGAAGGATGGATAAGACCGGGCTAAGAAAAATCTCTTTATGTTTGGTTGGAAGAAAAGAAAGAAGAGGAGAAAGTAAGAAGGAAATAAACATTTATCATTCCTTTGTATTTTTTTATCGTCCAAAATTGAGAGGAAGGAAAGAAAGAGAAAAGTATATTTACCAACAAATTTTTAACCTTTATAAAAATTAAAAATAAATATTTACTTTTTATAATTATATATAATGAGAGTTTATTAGTAAAAAAACTATAAATACTCTTTTTTCCTTCTTTCGAACCAAGCAAGAAAAAATGTTACCCATCCATCCTTTATACCATTCGTTTTACTCGACTATCCTCCAACCAAACCAAACACGAGAGTGAGAGCATGCAAGGAGTCGCGAGAACAACACTCGATTAGAAGAATTATATGACTTAGACTTTGAGTGAGTAGTTCAAAAATATTTTTTATGCAGTTTAGACCTCAAGTGAACTACTTTGTGAATTAAGATTCCCCTCTATTAATAGTTAATTTTCTAAACTTTGGGTTAAGGCATAGATCCAAAAATAACAGAAAGTATAATTTTAATTCACATGGTGCAACTTTATTATTTATTGAGAATAATTTTTATTTATGCATATAAAAATAAAACAATACTAAGATCCATGGCCTAATAAAGTCTTATGGCCTTATAAAGTCTTATGAAAATTAAGTAGTTATGGAATTTAAATTTTCTTAAAAGTTTTCAGTTTTTTTCTCTTCAAACTCTTAAAATTAAATTTTTTCCCCTATAACTTTCCCTCTAACCAAACAAGGTTAAAAAAAGTTGTATTAACAGTTTAAGTCTCATAAAAAAATGATCTGTATGTCATTCTCCTAATCTGTCGGTTTCCGTTTCTCACATCTTTGTTGGGGGCGACGCTGCAGAAGCCATAGCAAGTTAGCAACTATCCTTCCATTCTTCTGAATTTATATAATATATATTTTTATACACACACACACACTCGTATATATATTTACATATGTTATTGTTATATATATTTTTAAATAAATTTTCGGCCTCGATTGACCAAATACTAGATCGCCGGAGTATTAAATAGGAAAAACATAAAATCGATTTTTTCGATCGAATTTAGAAAAAAAGATTGAATTTTTACTTTTTGAAGGAGAGATCTGACTACCTGGTCGATTGAATTTTCGATCCTATTCTTGTAGATTGATAAATCAAAGACACAAAAAGGTCAGAAATCACATCCCTTCAAAAAGATCCACTATTTTTGCGTCTTTGAACTCTTATTAAACTTGTATTTAATTGTTTTGTTCTCCGTTTGCTATTTTAGGTTTTTTGAATTTCGATGTTTGGTTATAAGGCCAAAAAATGAAGAAATAAAAGGAAATTAAAACAAATTCCAGTATTTTTAATATTTACGAATCAATCCTATTTTTGGGGTTTTCATGTTGGATGGATGTTCTTCAAATTGGTTACTTTATTTTGGTTAGGTTAGATTTTTTGTTTGTGATTGTTAAGGTATTGAATGTATCGTCCCAATATTCTGATTTATGTTTCGGTGTGCTTGTCATACTATGAAACCCTCGTTGTTTAACTCTCTTGTCTCCTCTAGAATTTATGGACTTTGTTATAAGCATAGAAGATGGAACTGCTGTGATGATCTATTTCTACAAGTCTTGTGTATTATTTTTTGTCTGTGTCATTTCAAACATATGTATGTTTGAGGGTTTTGTTCACCTAACATTATTTTTCTCATATGTCTGAGGATACAAGTAAAATTTGCATATTAGTGTGTGAACTCCATGAGTTTTCTTTCTCTATATAATTAACTCTGGAATATATATATATATATATATATATATATATATATATATATATTAAATCTTTTCATTTTTCCTTAATGTATCAATAAATTAAACTTCAAATTGATGTTCGTCTAGGTAAAAAGTCGTGCGGGTCAGCATGGCCTTCTTAGGTGATGAAATTGATCATGTAGCAGATGACTATGAAATGGCAGAAGTAGATGATGATATATATTTCCGTGGTAGAGTAATGGGTGACTCAGATTCAGATGATGATGATGAATATGACCACTTGGTTTGTTCTATTTTTGCCCTCAAACTGTACTTACGTGTTTTATTTTTGCTTTTAATGCAGTTGTTTGTTTGTGTCATGTTTTTTTGTCACTCTTGCATGATTTAAGAATAAAGCAAACGGAAGATTGTTTAATTTTATCATTTTTTTGATGGTTTGGTGTAGGACAATAAGATAAGTGATACTTCTGCGGCAGAGGCTAGGGGAGGAAAGGATATTCAGGGAATTCCTTGGGAGAGACTTAGCATCTCCCGTGAGAAATATAGACAAACTAGACTAGAGCAGTACAAGAACTATGAAAATGTACCTCAATCAGGGGAAGGCTCAGAGAAGGTAAAATTGAGTTATGGTTTTTGTGCTATCAGATTGATACAATGCTATGCTCTTTTCCGCATTGTTCATATTCCTCGTTATTTGTTTACAGGAATGCAAGCCCACAAAGAAAGGTGGGGCGTATTATGAATTCTGGCAGAACACAAGATCTGTCAAGTCAACAATCCTTCATTTTCAAGTAAGATGATTTTAACTTGCATCATGCTTTCATGTAATCCTTGCATTAGTTTACATATAATGACTTTTCAAGTTAGCTGGTATGTAGATAATACATGATATGGCAATTCTTTTCCTTATCTCTGTGATATTTTATTTTCTTAATCTGCAGCATGCCACATAGTTGCCAGTGTTAAATACTTAATACTCATTATTTGAATAGTTAATGAGTGTCGAATACTAGGTGTGCCTTGAATGATGAGCAAAGAATGCTGCGGAATGGGATCGTTCCATCTGTAAATTCTAGGCACACTAATAGTAAAAACTCTTATGATATCTGCCTGCCTTGTTTTATTTTCTTGAGTCTTTGAATGGTGTATTATCAAATTCGATTGGTGCTGATGTAAGTTTCTAAACATGGCAAAATGCTTGCAATGAGCCTTGCCTTAGTATTTCGTTAAAGGCTGCCCCTCCCCTATTAAAGTTAAACATCTTTGAAGTTTGATTCGCTATATTTCTCTGGTTCCATACATGACCATCATGGGCATTGGTTGAAGCCATTTAGAAGCTTTGTATGAGTTCAGTATTGTTGCATTTGATTGAATCTTCAATCTAGTTAAGGTTCTTTACTGGAAGGAATGAAGTGCCTGTCTCCTTTATTGTTATTTAAGCACCTCTGCTGTGAATTTAGGATTTGTTTATTGAGGTTGGGAATGATCAATCTAACTTTCAAGGTTTCAATTTTTTGATTAAATGAATTTGTAGTTGTGATGTCTGGAGGGTTGGGGTGATATGTTGAGGGGTTGGCTTTTAGAATCAATTATCCTCCTCTTCAACCAGATTGGAGTGGATTAGACATGGTACTGCCACACTGAAGAGCAAAGGAAGTTAGTTTGCTGGAGGGTTGCTTAATTCATGAACCCACCCCCCTCCCCCCTCTTCTTAATAGCTCCTCTGTTCACAGGCTTCTGTTTTCCCTGTGGGTGAGGGCCTGAAGTATGCAACGTTGATATAAGAAATTAGATTGGTTCTTAACTTATGCTGTAGAAAATGGTGTTTGGAAAAGATTCTAACTTTGAATATGTTTTTACAAAGTAAAAACCATTTTCAAGAGAATGGATGTTTTCACACTCAACTCAACAAGGCCTTTTCCCAACTATTTGGATACTTACACAAGTTCTGTTTTGCCATTTTACTCTATCTAGGGCCAAATTTCTTTTATATATGTACCTGATGGATTTATACCCTATGTACAAGTGGGCATGGGCGGATTAGGCTGAATAAAAATGACAAACATCAAATGCAAGAACCTATCTTTGCATATAAAGCTTTGTAGAATATGTTTTTCTGAATATCGTTATTCTTTCTAAAGAAGCAATTCAATGTATTACTATAAAAAATAGAAAGTTCAACAGTTCAACTAGTGTTTGTTTCAAGGGTAATTTTTGTTACTTCTTTCCTCCCTCCCCTCCCCCTCTATGTTTGAATCGTTTTTGAGTGATGATTGTGCCGTCCATCTAAGTTATTACAATGTTGCATATTTGTCTTTATAGAAAAAAATATAAGCATATCTTACCAAAGTACTATTGTTTGGCATTGCAGTTGAGGAATTTGGTTTGGTCTACGTCGAAGCATGATGTCTACCTCATGTCGCATTTCTCTATCAAGCATTGGTCTTCTTTAAGCAGTAAGAAAACTGAAGTACTCGATGTTTCTGGGCATGTTGCACCACTCGAGGTACATATTTCTCATTGTGATAGCTATTAACAGATTCAACACTTTTGTGTTTATGCTTTTGAAATGTTTTGAATTTATAATGTTCATTTTATGGAATTTCCATTTCTGGACTTAAATTTCTTCTTTATCTAATAGAAACACCCTGGAAGTCTCCTGGAAGGATTTACTCAGACACAAGTCAGTACTCTAGCAGTCCGAGACAATTTGTTGATTGCTGGAGGATTTCAGGGAGAGCTTATTTGCAAGGTAATTTTATTCTTACTGACACGGTTTCACTGGATGTAGTATTAATGTGAATGCAAGTCTCAGTAGCTTGCTTTGGTTGTCATAAATCCCCCCATTGTCTTAGATTTATTTCTGTGCCCATCATGCATTCTAACTATCAAGTAGATTGGATATGCGTTGTTTTTAACATTCAAGAATGTCTTGCTCATTTAGTAAAAAATTAAAATGGAAATTTTAAGGTGGAGCTGAATTGACGGGGAATTCTTTCAGTCTCCAACTGTCTTGATATTTAGCACGCATCAAAAGCATAGGAGAAACATTTAATCCAATAGCGGGGTTTGGAAAAATATAATCGTACAAAATTTATAGTTATGTTAGAAGCATAATTCAATATGTTAATATGGCTTGCTACTGCGTTACTATTAAGATTATCATCCTCATTGTATTGATATATAAGATTCCTTTAAGAGCACCAAGGGGGGTGTGACCTATGTAAGCACCAAGCATACGGAAACTAACATTACTGTATCTTCATATAACCAACCTGAGGGTGATTTGTCTCCTTAACAAACTTATTGGCATGCAAAGTAGTTACTAATTCCGTTTGTTTGTTGAAACGATCCAAAATGTTTTATTATGGAAAGGAAATGGTCCACTCAGTCTATTATGGGCCCATTAGATACTGATTCGGCTTCTCTTGGTTTTCAACAATTTTTTTAAGATACTCCATGTGTCTAATACTGGAAATCCAACGGTTCTTCTTTGTTTAGCTATCTGGGATAATAGATGAAGCAGATCAACTATGAATCTTCTAGTTATTCCAAATGTGGACGAGAAGCACTTCCTTCAAATTTAATTTTTTTTCCTTTAACATTTATTTTACTTTTGATGTTGAGTATTTTTTTTTTTCCCCGGGTTGATGCTACTTAAGTTATACCCTTCTATAGTCATGTTTGAATTTTGAAAACTTATAGTGTATAAAGTTTGGGGTAAAATGCAAAAAACTCAATTAGGGAATCAGCAATGAACCCCTTGAACTATACATTTTTTTTTGCAGATAGCCCCATCCGTCACTGTTCCGGTCAGATCTTACCGTTAAAGTGACCACGTGATGGTCACACGACACACTATAATTTTAATGACCATAATGCTCTCGTGACCATGAAAAAACACTAATGCCCCTTATTTTAACTATTAAATCCACACCCCTTTTAAACACCCGAAACACACCCTTATATTGTTGATCTTCACAATGTGGCCTGAATGAAAAAAATAAATAAAAAATTAACGGACTCATGAACTAAACATAGCTCTCCTCACCTCTCTCCCTTCCTCTGTCTATATATATATATATATATATATAACTATCTCATGTTCTTGTATAGATTGTTCGGACAATGGAATCTTTTTTTAGAAAAAGCGCTTGCCGGAGAAGAAACAATAGACGGCATTGGCTTCAAATCCTATGATAGTCGCTTATGGAAACAAGGCCGGCGGCTGTGGAGTCGTCGGCGTATGTGTATTCATAATGACATGGGTTGTGGAGGCGCGTGTGGTTGAATTGCATAAGCTTGGGGTGGGGGACGAGATGACTCGACGAGTTGAAACAATGGTGGGGAGAGAATGTGGTGGAGTGGCGGGCGAGGAAAGCCAATCCCGGTGGGTGGTTGTCGTAGCGGCTGCAGCAAGTAGAGTAGGTGACTCAGACAAGGTCGCTACGGGTGTCGGCCATGAGGAGAAGGCGCTGGGGAGGGGTGTCGAGGCTGAGATTGATGAAATACCGAAGTTGAGGGGGATTTGGGGGTTTTGCGGCGCTGGAGATGAGGGGGATTTGGGGGGTTTTGTGGCGGCGCAGGGCGGAGAAGAGGACGTAGAGGCTGAGTCACATAAAGTGGGAGTGGATGCGAGAGCGAATTTGAGAGTGGGAGCGCGAAAGCGGCAAAATAAATCACAAATAGTGAGAAATTGAGCGAGAATACGCGCAGAGCGTGAGCGCGAAAGCGGCAAAATAAATCACAAATAGTGAGAAATTGAGCGAGAATACGCGCAGAGCGTGAGCGCGCTTAGATCGTGAGAGCGGCATCTGTTGAGAAGGATTTCGTGACTTAGCGTAAAGGTGGTGGGTGTTGGAGGAGAGGGCTTCGGATAGGGAAGGAAGTGGGTTTATGTGGAGGAGTGGTAACATCGGTGGTGTTTTGGGTGTTGCTGGGATCTGTGGATGCCAGGAGGAGAGAGAAAATGGAGAACAGAGAGAGTGGGGAAAGAGGAGAATATAGCACCATTGTTTTTTTCATTTTTTGTTTTGCGGAAGATAAGGTTGGCATTGGTGTCACATTTTGATTGGTTTCTAAAATTATTAAATGCCACATCATCAAGTTAAGGGTATAACTCTCAAAACGACGTAGTTTTAAATAAAGGTAAATTTGTCTTTTAATATTTCCGACCGATTCATCTACTGGAATGCAACAAATCAATAGTTTAGGGGGTTTTTTGCAACAAAATCATAGTTTAGGGAGGTTCTTGTTGTTCAGGGGTTTAGTTGCAAAACCCCAATAGTTTAGGGTTTTTTTTTGCATTTTACCCTAAAGTTGACCAACAGGCTCTTGGTAAAGCTTTTTTTTTTTTTTTTTTTTTTTGTCGTCAGGCAAATACTCACGGCCCCACCCACAAATTGCCAATTCTGGGGCATTACGTATCAAGTTTATTATTGTGAGGATTTGAATTATGGCTAATTGTAAGGCTAACAGGTTCTTGGTAAAGTAATTTTTTTTTTTTTTGTTAGGAAAATACTCACACCCCCACCCACAAATGCCAATTATGGGTCATTTATGCATAAATGTTTATATCCTCATGTATATTTTATTCTTATATAATCCTCCCTAATATTTTGTTTAGCTATCCGTGACGGGACAAGAGATGAAGCAGATCGACTATGATCTTCTAGATATATATATATATATGTATGTATTTTTTGATAAGTAAAATTGTATAAAAACGCTCAAAAGGGGAGCGAAACCCAAGAAAGTACAAAAGGCCACAAAGGACCTAAGCCTTCAAACAGGCCAAAAAATCAACAATCTCCTTTAAAGAACTATAATCTCTCCCTGAAACCAAACAAAAAAGAGTGGAAAGAATAGAGAATTTAAGCATAGAAATCGACATCTCCTGCCCTTCAAAATATCTCCTATTCCGCTCGAGCCACAAACACCACCACACACACAGAGGTGTAGCCCTCCAAGCATCCCGAATGAGGGCTCCCACAAAGCAACCACTCCAGGCCTCAATCAACCCTCTCACAGAACAAGGCATAACCCATGGAAACCCAAACAAGCCAATCATCAAATCCCAGGCTCTAGCAACGGTGCAGTGTAAGAGAAGATGATTCACTGTCTCCTCATCGCGAAGGCACATATAGCAACGATTAACCACCACTTGATTTCTCCTCCTTAAGTTATCCTAAGTTAAAATCTTTCCTAGAACAAAGGACCACGCAAAAAAGGCCACCTTAAGAGGAGCCTTTAAGTGCCAAACGGACTTCCAAGGAAAAATATCACTAGGGTCATCCGTGAGGCACTTGAAAAAGGACCTAACCTCGAAACGCCCCTTAGAGTTATCAGCTCAAGTCCAACAATCAGAATCCTCAGCCACAATTCTCCGGCGGTACAACAGCTCCAAAAAACGAATAGTCTCTTCAATCTCCCAGTCCTGAAGCAATCGCCTGAATCGAACATCCCACACTAGTCTCCCATTATCAAGATGATAACAGTTGACCACCATGGCCTGCCTATCCGTAGCAATCCTAAAAAGCTGAGGAAAAGCGAGAGCGAGAGGAACATTATCACACCAAACATCCTCCCAAAAACTAATCCTTCTACCATCCTTGAGTCGAAAACGGATATGCTTAACAAAATCATCCCACCCCTTCCGAATAACCTTTCAAACCCCCACACCTCTAGGCCCACGCACATCTAGGGAACACCACCCTCCTCTACTCTCCCTAAACCGACTCGCCACAACCCTTCTCCAAAGCTAGTGTCTCTCCACTCCAAACCTCCACAGCCATTTCCCAAGGAGAGCCTTATTAAAAGGCACCAATCTTCTAAGGCCCAAAGCTCCATTCCGAATAGGTCTGCAAACATGCTCCCATCGAACCAGATGGAGCTTGAACTCTTCCCCTTTGCCCCCCCACAGAAAATTACGCTGTAATTTCTCAATCCTCTCTGCTACAGAAGAGGGAATCTGAATAAGGGAAATAAAGTAAGTGGGAAGGCATGAGAGAGTGCTCTTAGTTAGAGTGACCCGACCTCCCTTGGAAAGGTACTGCTTCTTCCAACCAGCCAACCTCCTCTCAAATCTATCTACCACAGGATCCCAAACTCCCACACACCTTGAAGGAGCTCCCAGAGGCAACCCTAAGTAAGAGATGGGAAAAGAACCAGTACGACAACCAAAAATATCAGCAAAAGTCTCAATCTTTGGGACTTCCCCCACCGGCACCAGAACGCTCTTGCCAACATTCACCTTGAGGCCGGAAACAACTTGAAACCAAATCAGAACACACCGCAGATAATGAAGCTGGGACACATTCGCATCACAAAGAACTAACGTGTCATCTGCGAACATCAAATGGGAAATCTCTAACTGGGAAGTAACATCCCTGCCCACCTGAAATCCACTCAAAAAATCCAGCTCAACCGCCTTACTCATCAATCTACTAAGGGCTAACATAACGAACATGAACAAGAAAGGGGAGAGCGGATCCCCGTCTCAAGCCCCTCGAACTAGTGAAAAAACCTGAAGGAGCACCATCGAAAAGCGAGCACTAGAGATGCAAAAATGGATCCATCTCCTCCACCGATCACCAAACCCCATTATCTCCATCAGGTAAAGAAGGAAGCTCTAACTCACATGATCATACGCCTTCTCTATGTCTAACTTACATAGAACACCCGGGACCCCACTATGCAATCGGGAGTCCACGCACTCACTAGCAATAAGAACTGAATCCAGAATCCGACGAC